CGACTATCACTGGACGGGGATACAAGGAGTTACCCGAAGATCAAGATAATGAGATGGTCCCAATGCAACCCGGCTACGGTCCTTATTCACCATACGGACAAACCTTCCGAGAGGGGCGCACCCGAACTGGTTTTGAGGCTACTCTCTCGCGGAACAGCGTCTACAGCTCGGAGCAAGAGCAGAAAGAACTGGAGGCCAACCCACAGCTTAAAGCTTTTGTTGAATCCATGCGACGAGCAGCTGAGGCAACCAACTTCGGCCTCTCATTCAGATACTCCGATCTTGTCTTCCATCCCAAAAAGAGCCCAAAGCCCATTCTTCAGAACGTCACAGGCTCTATTGAGCAGGGACAGCTGGTTGCTGTTATGGGTGGCTCAGGAGCTGGTAAATCGACCTTTGTCAATGTTTTGATGGGTAAAACAAGGAACACTGGTGGTATCGTTGCGGTCAACAATACTCCAGGCAAGATGAAGCAGTACAAGAAGTTGACAGGCTACGTGCCTCAGGATGATATCGTGTTGCCTGAGCTGACGGTCTACGAGAACATTGTGCACTCGGCACGTATTCGACTTCCTCGTAACTGGAGCAAGAAAGATGTCGAAGCTCATGTTGAGTCTGTCATTGACTGTCTGGAGCTTTCACACGTGCGAGATTCTCGGGTCGGTAGCGTGGGCAAGCCTGTCATCAGTGGTGGTCAGAGAAAGCGAGTGAGTATCGGCATGGAATTGGCAGCTGCGCCAATGGCTATCTTCCTTGATGAGCCAACCAGTGGTTTGGATGCTACCGCAGCATCATCCATTATGCGCACGCTCAAGGCCATCGCAAGACTCGGCATCTCTATTATTGTTATCATTCACCAGCCGCGAACTGAAATTTTCGACCTGTTTGATAATCTCATCCTGCTCGGTAATGGACAGACCATTTATGAAGGCCCTCAAATGGAGTCACAGACATATTTCGAGAGCATGGGCTTCCAGTTCCCAGAGCACAGTAACCATGCTGATGTTATTACCGACATCATCACTGGTAACGGTCGGGAATACAACAGTGCTGGTGATGTTTCCAAGGAAGCACTCATCTCACACTGGGCTAAGATGCGCCAGAGCAAATCCGAAGAAGCTCACGACCACAGAAGTGTCAGGTCCACGATGCTGGGCGATACAGGGATGCGCCAGGCCCTCAAGAAGCGTGGTGCTCCCTACGTCAAGCAAGGATGGCTCTGCCTCTGTCGTGAAATGCTTCAGCAATATCGTGCGAGGGCTGCTCTGTTTGCCGAGATGGGTCTTGCTGTTCTAGCAGGTGCTCTACTCGGTCTCGCCAACAACCCTAAGAACGGTATTATGTTTGTCGGTCTATTCCACGAGCCCTATGAGGTCTTGTCGACAGCTATCGACTTCTTCTCTGCACCTCAGTTCGCACTTCTTATTGCCATTGCTATTGGTCTTGTTGCAGGTGCCCCTGGAGTCAAGCTTTTCTCCGAAGAGACACTCTTGTACAGGCGAGAGGCCGAAGCAGGCCATTCCCGTCTGGCTTACTTTCTTGCAAAGGTTATTTCTGTCTTTCCCCGCATGGCACTTGGTTGCATGCACTTCACCGTGCCCTTGTTCTTGTTGTCTGTACCCATCATCGACTGGGGACTTGCATTCCTCACAAATTTGCTGTACTTCTACTGCATTTATGGCCTTGCAAGTATTGTAAGCATGGTCGTTCGACGTGAAGATGCACCACTGTTTGCGACCATGATTGCCCTCATCACTGGTATTCTCTCTGGTTCCGCGCCTCCATTGGCATCTGTTAAGGATTGGCATATGGAGTGGCTTTGGCGAGCATCTCCTGCTACATGGTTGGCGGAACTGTACTTTGGGCAGCTTGTGGCACCTTTTGCATACCTCTTTCAGGTCGATATTGCAGCTGAGGCGACTGGATATCACCTTGACCGAAAGTGGCTCAACATTGGTGTTCTGGTAGCAATCGGAACTGCTTATCGACTGATTGCCTTTGCTGGCATGGTTCTGGGACATCGATTGAGAAGATAAAAGGGCGGTTTAGTTATTTTCCTGTATGGGTATTCACACGAAGAAGCATTTATTTTTGATAGGTAGAGAGTACTAAGCTGATGAAATGAAAATTTGGATGAATTCATATTTCTCGTTACTGTAGTACTTGCCTGATATGCTTGACGAGACTCTCCAGCAGGAGCAGCCAGCTAGCAGTGAAGCCTCTTTCCATTGGAATAAAACTGAAGGAACGGAAGGTACTCGTCCGATACTGTGGTTCGTACTGTCCGGCATTGAAACAGATTAGTTAATTTTGCCTAAATGCCTCGTCTCTCGCGATTTTTGGTGTTAACATCATCCCACAAAGTTTCGATCGATCTTTGCAATAAGCATCTTCAACTGGCGGAAGATCACGTTTGCTCGCAAGGATCCTTTACAGTTTCAGGGTCTTTTTTCTTGCGACATCCCCGCGAATTCTACAGCAACAACGTCGTGGTTCGTCACAACGAGGAGGGGTTGGATCGACACTCGTCAAACACGTTGACGGACATGAGTGTTTCGAGTTGTGCTCCGTGCTCCATAACAGTTTCACTGTCGTGCGTTTTATGGCGGTTTGGGGCATCGACCTATAGTATATTGACAGGGAAACAACCGAAAAAGTCGTATTTTGCACCCTGTAGAGAGGGACCAGGGTGAGCACAGTCAACCAAAAAGTTTCAATCGCGAAAACGGGCGTCATATTCTCAATGACGAGAACATCGACGACCATCGTCAACGAAGTCGTTGAGCCGCGTACTGTGCTAGAGCCAGTACGGCAAGTGGGCGAGAACGATAACTATCCAAACCTACTAAGTTACTATCACATATTTTCAAGCGGCTAAAAAGCGCAAACTTCGGCCAAAGGATTCCGAATAAATCGGTTACCGTTGGTAACAACGAAGGATTCGCGTTCTCAGGCGGCGTTGATGAAATCATCCTCGGTTGTTCCCCCACACATCCGTCGCTTAGGTGGTAGATGCTTGTCACGAATGGTTTCCTCCAGGGATATGCTGGATACGTCAGCAGTGGAGTTGATCCAACATGGAGATTACCACTTTGAACACGTTTGAACATCCTCCGACGTTGTTTCTTGCTTCAGACTGTCACGTCAAGGACGATCAACTCGTGCTGCAACCACCGAGATGTTGATAGCCGAACCAAGCGATATATATCGTGTCAACCTGAACTATTGGATTGGCCGGTTACTCCTCAAATGACTATTGCCGCATGAGAGAGAGATGGCGTCAAGACAACGGCGCCGGCACGGTTAGTGCGATGAGGAGACACCGTTGTCGCTGGTCTAGACTATTCAGCTGTTGGGAACAGATTTCACTGGCCCCTGACGATCCAGCTGTAGAGGCCGCTACGGAACATGTCGCGTTCAAACCGGGTGCCAAGTGGCGATTTACTATCTGTCCTCTGTATGAAAGTTTGACCTGTACATCAATCATATCGATGTCGCCCGATTGTCAAAAGCTTCAAGCACATGGAGGTTGCAGATGTTGGTTTTAGAGCCAACACAGGCGGGCTATCAGTGTGTCCACTCACACCTTGAAATCATGCCTTACTCGGCTGCGTTATAACTTGTCCAGGAGCCAGGTGAGCCCTTTATTTCAAATCGAACAGCTGGGGCCCAAGCATGGTCAAGGCAGGATCAAATCAAATTTAATTGACTGGCCGTCGCGTGCTCATGGAATTTCGATTTCGCATGGGCCAACCTGAACGTTATGAGACTACAGGGCACCAACGATAAATTAACATACTCTGGCTAGGACCTCAACCTTAAGCAACAAAAATATTCAGGGAAATATAGCCTAAGTTTAGGGGGTCCTTTGCTAGGTTTATTTTGACATCCTCCTTCCAGATCCTGAGTTTTCTTACTCCCCAAGGTCTGGGCCGCTGGTCGTCTCGGCTCCCCGCTTCTAGTCGTTTGTTGCTGGGAACCAAGTGGAGATGAGGGGCTGAAGGCTGAAATGCCCCCTGCTGTGTCGTTCAACAAAAAGACGAGACGAGAGACAACGCCTCTGAAATCTGATGAGGTTGGTTACTGACGAAGAGTTGCATTGGGAGGGGAAGTGTGAAGCTCTGGACTTGGAACACGACGGTAAAGAGGCAAGATATGATTTTTATGATTGGTTGAGATCTTGAAGATAAGGCAAAAGAGGGGTGCATAGGTATCATTATCAAAGTGAAGATACTGTGACGGAACCACAGTACATATGTGCGTTGCAGCAAGTGCACCACTACACCGAATCCTTCTCAAGAGACTATAGGCCAACGATGATTGATATCGCTCGACGAGATAGCGTATCTTGTCACGCAACCATGACCGACATCAACACCACCACTACCACTGTACCACATGTGCAAAGCCGCCTAGAGTCAGCTACTAGCGATTCCACCATCCCGCATCCACGCTAGAGAGAACAAAGCAGACCATTTATCTGTCTGAACTCGCGAGATACAGACACACATGAGAGAAATAGAGGCACAAAGGCGCCAACCAACGAGTTCAGGGATGAGCCAAGGGCCCAGGGATCCGGCCTCGACGCCGTGACAGCGCCGCACTATGCAAGGATCTTAATGCAGAGTGTGTCGCATTCGAAAAAGAAAAAGACGCTACGGCCACCAGAGCGTCGGGTCGTTCCCAAGCCTATTTTTCGACTTGCAGGAGCTGACGACCCTACCCTTCTCGAAACTTTGAAATCTCTTCCTCTTCCCCCAGACTCGTCTCGATCTATTTCTCTCCAGTCTCCCTCTTCCTCCCTCTCGACCTATTGTTTGTTAAACATAATCACATCTCGACTTTATAATCACACTATTATATTATACCCTTATTGTCTTCCCCAGTCCACTTGTTTTCTGAAGGCTGGCTTCCTTCTTACATGCTTGACTGCTCTTATCTTATTCTTCCTTTCTACCTCCAGTACCTATCTAAGGTAGTCTAATACGCCGTATCTCACCATGGCCACCTACACCACCATGGAAGGTCCTCAGCATATTGCTATTCGAGAGCTTGATCTGAGGACCTGCCACCCAAGCACAGTTGTCGATAGAGTTGGTGCTGTTCCGGTTTTGAAGACCAGCGCTGGTGAGTTTCTCTGATCTCATACAATTTCCTCTTCCTTTGTTCTTTCAGGGCCTTGTCCTGGTGTAAGAGCCCCCTGTCGCTCGGTTACTATGGCCACCACCGAAGCCAACCCTGGTCACAACCCTGAGCACACGACAGTTCGTATACCTAGGCTTGACTTGATGGTCACGAATTCGACGTTCAAGCGCTGGAACCGTTTATTCTGTAGCTTCAGCGAGCTCTAGGCACGATGGATTGTGTTGATATGTTTCCGTCATGAATCATATTCAATGTGGCCAGCTTAGGAACAAAGCTTGACTGGACCAAAATGTGTAAACCAAAACACCATGACTAACATCGTAACTATAGCCTTCTTCACATTCCTCCGCGCCAACCTTGTCCTCCACTCAGCAATGACTTCAGCCACCAGTACCCCGCAATTCGGTCCATCTGTTCCCTTTTCCTCTTTTGTCCCGCCATCTCCCTCTCCGCTTGCAGCTTCTACGCCATACTTTGGTCTCGACAACGATGATGACATCGAGCCGTTGTCCCTTGAGGTTCTCGACAAGCCTCATGACAAGGTTGAGGGTATGCGCCTCGTTGCCGACTCGATTGCCCAGATGCGCCAAAGGGCCTCTTTGAACCTCGTTTTCCACCCGCTTTGTCTTGCTGGCCTATCGGCAACCTTGGCTGCCATTTATCATTTCGGCGGCGTCACTCGTGACTCAGGACTTGGTATGACGGTTTCCTGTGGAGTGATCATGAGCTACCTTATGGGTATTCGTTACTTGGCCAACGGTTATATTTCCTTGGCTGAGCGCTTGCAATGGAACTGGCTACGTGCTGATGACGGAGAGGAGGATACCCTGCTGGCTGCTCGACTGAACCAAGACATCATCGGAACCCTAGTCCTTCGCCTTGAGCCCAACCCGACTTCTAACCACAGACGCAGACGATCGCTTTCTCTACGAGGAGGCAAGGGTGTCATTCGCGCGTGGACCACCAATCTCAACTATCGTGGAAAGGGCGTTGGAAAGGATCTCCTTCAAGAGGCTGTCCGTGTTACCAAGGAACGTTGTGGAAAGGATGCTGAAGTTGGATTCGCTCAAGAGCACGCCAATAGCGCCATGCTCCTTCCCGGCATCTTTAACGCTCCCTTCCGACGTGACGAGGTCCGAGCCACCAGGGCTTTGGATGGTATCTTGTCCAACTGGGACTTGGTTAAGAAGAGGAGGTAAATGAGTTGAGTTGGTCAGCCATTGCTTCACATGTTCTCAAGGATGACGAACATCTGTCGACGAGTTCGTCATCAAAAGGACGCGATTAAACGAGAAGATGATGAGATGAGGAGGAGGAATGGAAGACGACAAGGAGAAGCTTTAAAGAATGCTTTGAACGAATACCCCAGAAGACGATGCAATCGACGGAAAGAAGTTACAACCACTAAACAGCTACAAAGATACCACTAGAAGAGGGACACGCTAGAGTATAGACTCTGGGTCGGGGAGACGAGATGCTACCGGAGGAAGCATGTAATGGTCGGAGGAGCGACTTGCTTTCTTTCTTTTTTTCTTTCTTTTTTCTTTCTTTTTTTGATACCGTACCTACTACTCGTACTGTCACTTGAGATACCCCAGATCATACCATATTCCTTTCGTTTACAGAAGTTCATAATTTATCAGATTATAGCACAGCTCATGAGCAATATCAATCAATCTTTCGATTCTCCTGAACAGAATATACCTTTTTCCGTATGACAGTTTATCTGTTTCCCTTTCATTCCACAAATGCTCATGGTGTAACACGCAAATCGGACCAACATGCTAACAAACAACGCGTGAAAATGACGCCCAACACCGCTCATGTCAAATAAAAAACACGGGAAAGCCGATTTCGCTGAAATGATTTCGCATTACATCTTCTTGGGTTTGTTTTGTCCATCGTATGTGTCCGGGTCAAAACCATAGATTGGTCTCCCGAAACGGGAGAGGCTGTGAATCACCTGTTCACATGTCAGTTAGTGAGTGCCCTTTAACAGTGCCAACAGTGCAAGAAACTCACATCGTGTACGGTAACGGTCTTCGCGTTTCGGTATTCGACGTAGATAACGCACATCTGGAGGATCTACTGACGATGTTGGTACAGGGTAGATCAAGTGAAGCAGTGTACACATGTTACATACCTGTTCAAGGCGTGCTTTGAGGGCAGCTCGGACCTCGTCGTAAATTCCAGCTGAAATACGCTTGACACCTCCTCGGCGTGCTAATCGTCTATGTTTCACTGTATCAGTATTGATGCCCATATGTCTCAGGTAGATAGAGGTGAATATGGTCCACTAACCGGATAGCAGGCTTGGCTGAATCATCTTGTTAGCAGTGATCTTTAGCAGAGATGAGTGAGCGTATAACTTACTGACTCCTGTAATTGAGTCGCGAAGAATCTTGCTATGAGATTGTTAGTATGGCAGTTGGGTGTCTCAGTTGAGCGAGCTTTGGGGAATGACTTTACCGATGGCGACGACCTCCAAGGACCGTCTTACCTGAAGCGCCACGGATAACTTGTCCTTTCTTTTGAAATGGCACGACTTTTCCACCTGAGTAGGTGGGCCGTGACCCCGAAGGACCGCCTCGAGTCGGCACTGTAGGCATCGCGAAGGGTGAGGTGAGACGGTGACAAACACCACTGAGTTGAATAACGTGAATTGATCCTGATAAATTCTGATCTGAAGCGGGAGATCTGATATGGTGTATCTTGTCTTCTCGGTGATTTTTGGAGGAATGACTACTTTGCGTGATCTCTCTGTGTTGGTTGGAGGGGAACTCGTGTTATTCTGTTGCTCTGTATCATCTTTGCGGGAGCACGTGACTGTGACAGTTAATCACTGGCAATCACTGTCAGGAGAACGAAAGACAGGCAACACAGGAAATTCAAGGGTCGTAATCTCTGGACTAGAGAGGGACAAAGCATAGATATAGGTAAATAAATTGGCGGCCCGAGTAACCTCTACAACGGTTCCAACGGTTGAGACTTGTCACATTCTACGCCATGCTTTACTCACGAGGCATGCTATCGATATCATATCAGATAAGTGATGGATCAAAGTTAGGGTCTGTTTTCCATTGCAAGAGCAGCTAAACTTTTTAATAACTACCATATTCTCCATCTCCTCCCGCACTTGAACCTGAGAAGTCACACATTCCCAAGACCGAATCCTCGTACCGTGTATCCGTATACCGGGTTTCGCATGCGCATTCATCGTCCCATTAAAACATTTGTATGCTCCTCAATCATATCTTATACTTGGAAACAAACAGGCCAAAACGCCTAGAATCCTCGCTGCCCTTGCCGCTAGGAGGTATATCATGAAAAAAAAGGCGAGGGCGACAAACGTCTCGCACGGTGGGGGTATAAATCAAGATGAGTCGTAATTGGTGCCAAAACACCGAGCAATGAATCTGACAGTAGCGTTAGATCAATGACAGATGAAACGTCAGTTTAAACCACTGGCGCGGATATCAAGTTCATTTCGTTACTAGTCGGAGACTTTTACAACATCACTCTTCTCATGTAGCTGCAGTAGCAGGTGCAGGAGTTTCTGTCCCTTCAGTAGCCTCAGGAGAGGCTTCAGCGGTGGCAGCGGCAGCGGCAGTGGCATCAGCTGCTTCAGTTGCTTCAGCTGCTTCAGGCGCGCTAGGTGCCTCAGATGCATCAGGTGCGTCAGGGATCTCAACATCCTCCGTTTTCGTTGTTTCTTCTGCGGCTGCAGGTTGGGAAACATCGTCAATTACGGGCATGTTAGGATCGATCGGAACGTCAGCAGCCTCGATCTCATCCTCGGTTTTGGGAACAGAATGCTCTTTTGAGCCCTCAGAATGCTGTGGCAACTCAGTTGGCTCAGGAGCATCCACAACAGGGGCAGATTCGACAGCCTCGCTCGGCCTAGAGGCTTCCGAAGCCAGCAATGCCTCAGCCGCCGCCTCAATATCTGCTTCTGCTTGTGTCTTTGTAGGCTCTTCAGTGGTGCGTGGTCTCTTGGCGGGTCTCTCTCCAGAGGCCAAATTGGCTCCTTGGAAAGCTTGGAGCTCGAGTTCGAGGTCATCCAGACGTCGCTTGAGGCTACTCTCTCGTCGATGGCTATCCTCCAGCTGCCTGCGTAGCTGAGCCTCGCTCTCCTGTGTCTGGTCCAGTTGAGAGCGCAACTGGGTTAACTGCTGTCCGCTTCTAACGACAGCTTCTTGTTGCTCGAGTTGGCTAAGGCGGCCTCGGAAAAGCTCAATGATCACTTCGAGTTCGCTGACCCGCGTCTTCAGGCTTGAGTTGTGCGCAATGAGCTGCTCATGCGTCTGTGGCGCGTCCATTTTGCGATCCCCGTTCGTAGGAGATGACGCGCGACCTTCCCCTGTGGCGACGAAACTGGTCTGGTAAGGGTCGTCGACCATGAACTGGGACAAGCCATGCGCGTACATAGAGGGGGTACCAGTGCGGGAGATTGGTGAGTCGGCTCCGTCGTGGCCGTTCGATCTCTGGGACGCTCGTCGCGCGGCTTGAGCAGCGTGTGCAGCGGCTGCGGCAGCCTGTCCGGTCGTATCGAATCCATTTGCATCGGTCGTAGGGAAGCCTTGCGCAGCTGCTTGCTGCTGCTGCTGTTGTTGCTAGTCCTCGTTATCAATGCGCAGTGTCTCGGAGCGCATTGAACTAACCTTTTTCTTATTCGCCAAATCAGGGCGCATTGTCTTGACTCGATTGCGACTCTTGATAACGTCTGTCTTGAGCGAAATTGGCCGGGGTCTACCATGCAGCTTGAGGAACAAGCCACAGGCATTGCACAGAACCGAGCCAAATTCGTCGCGACGCCATAATGGTGTTGTAGAGGTACTGCAATTTTGGCAGGTAGGCTGCGTTGATCCGTTAGTTGCCATCATGGTGGCGGTTGTTGAGTGTAAAGTGAGTACGGAGTACAGTGCAATGCAATGCGAAAGCGGGAGGGAGAACGATGAGTATTATCTCGACCACGATAAGAGGATGGAGTAAAATTCTTTGGTTGCAACGTAACTGGCTGCGCTTGATAAGCCAGATAAGCCCGAGACCCATCGACCATCCCGCAAAGGTTTAGTGTTGCAAGGTTTGGAGATAAGACACGTGATTGTATCAATCAGTGGCGATAAGACCGGGCCAACTGAGCTGGCGCCGCAAAAAACGTGACAGGATGCATCCGCTCTCGAGAGATAAGATTGCAGGAAGTGACATATATTGGCTGCAGACCCAGCATATAAAAGTGCAACGGGGGAAGTGCTGATAAGATTGTGATAATGAAATATGGTCGCGACTTACCATTGTACTTCCAGATCCCCCACTCGTAGCGGCAGGAGATGCAGTGGCATACATTGCGGGCGACGGAGCGGCCGATGCTCTGCAGACAGGGGTTAGTTAACAATCAATTTTCTGGTAATGGAGGTGTCGAAGGGTTTTTGTTTGATGGAGGCTCGAGCGCAAGTCGGCAGTATCGTGCATTCATGGTCACGAATGACGAACAGCTAATGGGTTATCCTACCTTAGTTGAGATGTCGCTTCTGTAGCAGCGTTGGCAGCAGCAAGAGCCGAAATGCCTGGTAATACGTGTGGTAATGAAGCTGATGCAGACGTCGAAGTTGAGTCTGGTCGAGAAATAGGATCAAGTTCTGTCTGCTGCAGGAGATGCGAACCGTCCTCCTCCATGGTGACAATTGCCTGCAAAACGATACAGGGCTGAAGCAAGGTAAGGTAGGAGGGTAAGTAATCGATAGGGAGAAGCGCGCGCGGGATGTTATCGATAATGCTCGATAAAGATTGTAAAGATGGTGGTTGCTCGGCAGTTCAGACTGACGCGCAAGGGCAAGCGTCGATGACTTTGAGGCGCAATAAGGCTGATGAGTCTGTGGCAATCGCGAGGTTAAAATTCGTGATTTGGTGTCAAGTTGGTAGATACCAGGTAAAGTTTTGGGCTGGCCTGGGCTGGATGAGGAAAGAGATAAGTTTGAGGTTGGATTTGGAAGGTTGCGATCAGAAGTCAAAATCAAGTCCAGTGACCGAGCGCGTCGCGCACTGAAGCCCCCAGTGTCGCTACAGTAGATGACGGGCCGAAGGGTTTTAGACTGCAGGTAATAATTAAGGACGCCTTCTGATTGGTCGCTTTGCAGTGCCACTCATTGTTGCCCCTGTCACAGGGGAGGGATAAGGTAAGGTAAACTTTAACATTTGGTATTTCTATTCATATACCGAACCCATCGAGCACCTAGATCCGAGATAATCGAGTATAATGTTGATACTGATTAACTTGGATCCTATATATTATCAGTAAATGGATATATATATAAGGTGCGTCAGGTCATAGCTTGTAAAAGGAGCATATAATGTTGACTATTGATTATGGCTTTATCGTATGATGAACATTTATGTTTCTCGATGAGTTGGCCATTTCATTCCTCTCCTGACAATTGGATTCAGTTGATTATTTGGTGACATCACTAGTTGTGGTTTTGTATTTTGAAGACAATTCATCGTTGCCTCGTCACGGCAACCGAGAAGCAACCAACTTTATCATCGAAAGCAACTACATGAGAGAACATACCTAGAAAGTTAAAACCCCTATATCTACATAGGTAGTCAAATAGACAGTTCATCAGCAATTTTCGCTTGTGATGACTCCTGGAAAGTCCAAGGATTGTCTGTAGGGTAAGTTCAGCATCATGGGACCATTTGGGCATGATTTTGAGATGAGATACCAGCCCAGCCCGGCGCTGATTTACAATAAGTGGATGCCGGAAGCTACGGGAATTACATTAGCACATTAGTTTCTTCAACACTAAATAAGCAGTTTTACTCCTATTCAATGACATGTGTGGCGCAAGATTGCACACATTCATGTTTCTCAACATGCTGTAAGGAGGATATTCTCCAGCAGTGTAACATGCATATAAGACACTGTACTCTAATACAAAAAACTACTACATAAAAGATAGACGCGTCTTGGTACGCGTTTATGCTCAACACACGTCATTCCCCACATCATCGATTTTGACACCAGCCACAATATCATCCAAGTACCCCTCCATGACCCAGGGGAAAATCAAGCTGGTGCCGCCACAGAAAGCAGGCCCAGCGGTGTGAAAGTGACATCGATATTTCGGACTGCAGCTCTAGTATCCAATCCATGCCGTAAGTTAGCCAGCCTTGGGCTAATTAACGACGTCCCCAGCATTTCCTTCATTTCTCGACCCATCATCCCATCAACCTCATTCGAAGCAGAAACCCTACTTTCTGTTTCTCTCTCCCTCTTACACATACAAACACACCCTCATACACATTCATCATGTTCAACTGGGCCAAGCAACAGTACGTTTTAAACTCCTCCCCTCAGAACCTTCTTGACCCCACCATGAGATGGACCCTGGAGAGCTTCATGTAAAAATACTGACCGCTATAGACTGGCCAATGTCGCTGGCACCCAGGAGCCTATCTACGGCCCCTCTGCTATCAAGTCTGTCGCCACAGAGGCCGAGAAGACTCCCTACACTGAGATCTCTCGAAATGACCTGAAGTGGCAGGCCATGGACTCTACATCTGTTGAGACACACACCTTTTACATCTTTGGCGATAACGGCCACATCGCCCTTGCTCAGCTTATCTATAGTAACGTAGCGTATGTCTCGAACTGTGCAATATAACATGGCTCTGCTAATATCTTCAAAGTGGCATCCGAACAACCTGCCAGTTCAACGCAAAGGTCTTCAGCTCAGACCCTTCCAAGCCCCACCTCTGGGCCTCTACACCCCTCAACAACCACGACTTCAACGAGGACAAGACAAGTTTCTACGCCGACGACTGCGCGATCGAGCTGTCCGAGGATGGCACCTACTACACCATCAAGAGCATGAACGACCCCAACGCCATCGTCAACCTCAAGATCACCCGCTCTACACCTGGTTTCCAGGCCGGAACCACAGGAACAACTCTGTACGGTACAGACATGGAGAACCCATGGGGATCTATGCGACACGCCTTCTGGCCTCGCTGTGTTTCTGAGGGTACCATCACCACAAAGGACGGCCCCATGGATTTCAAGGGCAAGGCCTTCTTCGCTTACGCCCTTCAGGGCATGAAGCCGCACCACGCTGCATCTCGATGGAACTTTCTTAACTTTCAGGGCCCCACCTATTCAGCTGTGCTGATGGAGTTCACCAGCACTCCCTCGTATGGCTCTACCCTCGTCTGCGTGGGTGGTATCGTCAAGGATGGCGAGATTGTCATCGGCGGCGTCGACAGCACGGCCACGCACACCCAAGTCAAGAAGGATTCAGAGAACGACTGGCCTGAGCCGAGCGACGCCAAATACACCTGGGCCGGAAAGACCAAGGACGGAAAAGCCGTCGAGGCCTCGGTCGAGGGATCTCTCGGGGAGAGGGTTGATCGAGTTGACGTCATGGCCGAAGTCCCCGGCTTCGTCAAGACCATTGTCGCAGCTGCAGCTGGCACAAAGCCATACATCTATCAGGTACAGTTTCTCCTTTATTTTAATTTCCGAGAGACTGGTCTGAACTTAACCCCCTTGCTGACTATACAATCTATAGTACCATCCCAAGCTCTCCCTGAAGCTGAAGATTGGAGATGAGGAGATCGTCGAGGAGGGCACCATCTTTACCGAAGCTACTTTTATCTCATGAGGTAGAAACACGATAGAGTAAGAGACGATGCCACTCTTTTATTTTTCGGGTGTTGTTCTTGAGGACCTCGATGGTTTTTATTGTTTTTTTCCCCCCAGAGTACGACTTTTGCATCAAACATTGGGTAATACAGTAATCAGATCAGACAATTCAAGTCGGAATCGGACTTGATCAGAAGGAGGGGGAGGGGAAGGGTCGGCGTTGGAGACGGACGGAACAGGTCTTGGTCAACTCACTCGCTTAGGACTAACTTAGATGGAACAATGATGCCCTTCCAGCTTTTGAACTATCTATTCTGTGTTGCAGTAACTGACTAACTAACCAACAAAGAAGCAAACCAACCAACTAGAGCTATAGGCTAACTCAGCTTAAACCGATCTTCATTTTGACTGACACGTCTCGACGCGTAAAGGTCAGGTCTTGTTGTTAGTAGCTCGCGGGCCGATAAATAATGGATGGATACGATCATTGTATTCCCCCTCGTTAGCTGAGATTATCGACCACGTTCCCACAGTCCTATTGTCCAGTTCCCCATCAGGCCTTTCTCACAATGGATAGAATGGATATATTCTACAACTGAAGGGGTTTTACTAACTCTAGAATTTAGCAATTGAGGGAGGAAAGCCAATAATATTGGCAGTTTATCAGGTCAAGTCTCTGTTCCTGGCCCCCGCCCACGATATCAAGGGAGGAGAGAAGACACGAGCCTCTCCACTCCTACACACTCATGTCTCGCCCGTCGGTGTCTGTCTCGTCACAATCTCTTAGCCTCTTTTCCTTTCCTACTGTGACCTGCAGTAGTTTCTCTTCAGCCTCCTTTTTTGTCTACACGTCTCCTTGCTTTTTCTAGTGCTCCGTGTCTGATCATCTGAGTCGCTGCAGCTCACTTTCTGTACCTGACTAGAGGATTTTAAGCCTCCACATCGAACCGAACCATTTTTGTTGGTGGAGACCTCCATCTTTGTCAAGGGTCACGACTTATACGCGCAGAGCGCATTCCTCTAATGTAGAACATCGATGTTTTACTCTGCCAGTATTGGGCCGTCCAGCCCCTGGAGATCATTTTTTCTCTCTAATTACATGGCTTGGGGAGGATAGAGTGATGCCACTAGTGTCAGATTTACTCGAGAGGAATTGAATATAAGGATTCGAGGATATCCTCTTGTGCAGATAGTATCACCATCCCTCGTTCTTTTACATCTCCCTCAAGAGCAATATTCCATAACTTGGTCTCCCTCTGAGATTCCTCTCTTTTCATCCTTCAGACAATATACTGAATACCATCAAAGAACAACAACAGCAGCAACAATGGTCGCCTGTATCTATCACAATGCGTCTTCGTACGCCCCAGTCTTTCCATCTCCTCTCAACCCCACGAACCATGGACCCGAGAATAAATATGCCACAGCTTCAGGACGTATTGTGCGCCGAAGAAGAAGTCGACGAGGCCCTCCTGGATCTCACACTCTCACCCAAAGACTCCTCCGCGTAAAGGCAGCGGATGCTTGGAGAGGACATGTTCTGAGCGCTCAGGTTGTTCAGTATGAATATGCTGAAGCTGCTGTCATGGGATATAAAGCACCACCAAAGAGCCGAGTAAGTTGTTCTTCAGTACATCTCACCAAGAACCTATCTAACAATGCTCTAGAACTGCCTGTATTCAATGCCCGGTCTCAAGAACCTCGGCCTCAACTTCTCACTCTCGGATGCCCACCGAATCGCCAGCAACATCCGTCTTCCCGATCTCACATGTCTCAGGACAAGACGCATGGTGCTGGCCATGGGTCTTGTCGGGCTTCTCCCCGCTCTCAAGGTCCGCGATATGCTCAGAGCAGCTGAGACATTATGACTTAGGCAGGAGGGCGAAGATGAACGAAGAGCCATGAATTTTATGATAATTGCGATTGTACCACTACGCCAACATTTGTTAGGCGCGGCGCGTTGGGGAGAGGACTTTTTCTATAGATATACCCGCGTACTTACGCCTGTTTTGCCTTCACCTTTTCCTAGGTATTCACTCCAGTCTAATACAAACACAAACACAAATACAAATACAAATACGACCAACCGTTTCTTTAGCCGTGCCAAAATACACTCCTGCCTCAGTACATAGGTATCATACATCGTCTAACATAAAGAAAACTCATGCGTAACTAATTCATCACATCTTCTTCTCATTGGTCTTTCTTGTCCACCGTTTCAGTGGACCCTGGTTTCTCGGCGGCTGCACCAGGTGAACTCTCTTTAGGTGGGCTCTGACTATCTGGGTCTTGAACGGCTTGCTCGACCTGCCATATAGCCCTTTCAAGCTCCACTTCAAGAGCCGGCATGTCAAGAGTGTCTGAGAAAGTCTGAACTTCCTTTTGTGTGAGAAGGGTACGCTCCTTATTGTCCGGCTCTTCGGCTGGTGGGGCGTGTAGCGCGTAGAGCTGATCGAGCTTTTCAGAGGGAGCTAGGCGTAGGAGCTTGTTCTCGAGCAACCATTGGAGATGCTTTCCACCTGAGATGGCTCTGCCGTGTGACCACGCTCTGTAGACGAGGTAGAAGAAGGGCAAGTTGGGGATGCTGTGGTCTGTTAGTTAGCGGATTGAGAAAGAGGATGGGTATGTACTCACATGGGCACGAGCGCAAATGGAATAGTAATCGGCATGCCGACAATACACCACACAAGCCTCTTTTTATGCAGCGCCTGACGCTCCGTCGCAAGAATCTTGAGAATACCCTCCGCCTTGTTCGGCGGTATCACCGAGCTCGGGAAGCACAAGTCGACCTTTTCCTCCATCTCAATCTCCTTCCCACGGCGTCTCACCGACAGAGGCGGCACAGACTTCAAACCCCATTCCTCATATGGGATGCGACGAAAAGCATAGTTACCGTAGTCGACGACCTTGCGCTTCCAGCCAGACTCCATCTTCTCCCATTGCGCCCACGTCTTGGCTGCCCAGGCAGTGCCCTTGTCAACATATGATCTGCCTTGTGGCGCAGTATTTGCTTCGAGCCGTTTCGCATAGAGGAGAGTTCGCCGCGTCGAGAGCGGTAGGAGGTATAATCTCATCATCTTGGCAGGCGTTCGTTTGCTGCAATGCGCCAGAGGGAGTAATGTCAGAGTGAAAAGCTCGCTCGCCGTAGAAGAATCGTAGAACCAGCGTAAACTATCGTAGCATGACGTCTGTAATATAAATCTTTATAGTGAGAACCGCACGGATAGAAGAGAAGCCGGTGAAGGAGGGAAAAAAAGCGACTAGTAGAGAGGAATTGTTTGCCTCCAGCTCAACAACTTTGGTTGGGAGAGGAATTGCACAGGGATTCTATGAGAGAGAAAGGCTAGAACCGTGGCGAAGCTGACGACGATGATTTTTTTCTTCTAGTGAGCTCCAGAACTTGGAGTTTGTTTGGAGCTGGAGCTTGCTTGCTTAGGCTGGGAGTGGAATTGGAGGCCCCCAGCCCAGAGAGAAATGGATGGTGACGCACATGGTCGTCATGGTTGGAGAATAGATTAATACTTGATTTACACGTGCATCGACTCTTTTTCTCTATACCACGAGGATATTTGATAGGACGTGACACTCTGTTGCTACCACTAGAATAACGTCTTTTTTATTCTGTATAAATACAGCAGTCTCCATCTTTAGGTTCTTTCTGTACCTTATATTCTGAATGCACTGCCTTGGCCAAGAGATTCAACCTGCACGATTCGAGCCCCCCACTTCACCACTAACCCCCACCACAAATCGACACTATCACCAATTCTCACAAACCACCGACTTAGTATACATTTCCACAACCTGCTTTAACAATTCCTCGGGCGAATGGTTTAGTGGTATAATACTCCCTTAGCATAATTCATCCGAATAATCTGGGAGTGGTCCAGGGTTCGATTCCCTGTTCGTCCAACACAGGTGGTTAGATTCCGCTGTTATACCTTCTTTTTGCCGTTTTTGCATCTGATACTAACTAACAAATGGTTGCTTTTTGTATTATGGACCCTTGAATTTGACTTTAAGGGTTCTTTTATCCGTACATGCTGAACCTTATTAGACGTCCCTTGATCAACATGCATATTCACAATGCCCTTCCTAAGAAGCAAATCTTTTCAGATCACCAGACTGTACACAATCGGACAACTCGAATTCCCCTAAAAAAATACCCATCATGTTCCCATCATCACTCAAGCCATGTCTCATATAGATCTCGATCCTAACGCTCTGACATCCCATAACGAACACCTCCCAAAAGCCTCTTTATGCAGGGAGACTATTCGCAGTCTTTAGCCTACAGAATCTGTCTGTCTGCCCACTTCCCCATAGTTCCCATCATGGAGATTTTCTTCGACTCAAGCCCCGTTTGCCTTTTTGGTGCTACAATCGCTCGATTAGTGCTCCCAGATGTTTGGTACCTGAGACATTGGAACTGAGACCTACAGCTTTGCTTCTTCAAGCTCCGAGCTAATTCCTTGAGCTCTTACGATAGGTTCTAGGACACGTATTTCGACAGGAATTGGTATTTCGTGTATTGATCAATTGGATTGGCTCTGGATTCATTGTCATGGTATCGACATGCTTCGCTTCAACGCCCCTTCTATCCTGTATGAACTTCCATCTCTTCTCAATCCATAGTCGTACAACACAATGTGCACCTTTGAAAAAGCCCGGACTTATTCATCTTTAGCTCCATGCACGGGACTCTTTGCCCGTGAAGCTCCCCCCTTGCCCACAATCTTCTCCGCCCAGTTCCACCCGCCCGACGGCCCCTGCGCCTCTTTGCCCTTGTCCTGCTGATGAAGCGCCGACGGGGACGTTGGCGCAGGCAGATCACCTCCAAAATCAAGATCACTATCGCAGTCGCTATCGTGCCAGTCTCGCTCGCTCCATGTCACTGAGTCCGCTCGTTCCGTCTTTGGCCGCTGGTGCATGGATGCATCGCTCCCTCTTTGGGACTGCTGTGACTTCGGAAGATCCGATACTTTATCCATAGCTTCCCGAGACTCACTATCCGTTCGAGTCATACTTGCTAAGTTGTCTCGACTCTTCTTGAGCTCGGCTCCGTGCTCGTCAGGAGGCTCGTTCATGTTGCGGGCCCGCTCGCGGTTGTGTTCGTCCTCGTCGCGGAGGCGAGAGGCCGCCGAGTCGCTGAAGTGGGCATCGACTAAGTGCTTAATGACAGGCCAGCCATACGCGTTGGCAAACATGCGGCGGACCAGAACGTTGTTGTGAGCATCGGGCTCAACCTTTACAAGAACCTTCCTCCAGGACAGGTCCTTGTGGTAGGCTCTTGCGATCTTCTCCTCAACTCGCATGTTTGAAGTGTCGATGACTTCATAAATATCTTTATCGGGATTCGTGTTCGCTGTGTCATCGTAGTCTTTAGCTGACAATGAACTGTCCTCATGATTCACATGGGGATATGGCGACGAATCCGCGCTGCTGGTAGAGGCCTGTCCTATCGAGTTCTGTCGTTGGCCCGTCCTCCTCCTGACCAATGTAGTAGGACGTTTCTTCAATGGTGGACCAGGTATATCAGCTGGGTGATAAACCCGGTCATGGAATATAGTTCGCGGCCGCTTTGATGGATCGATCATGTACTCAACGTCGGGTACCTTGGGGTTGAGTAGATCACCAGCAGATTCAAAGATAGTCGTTCTTGGAGGAGCAGTCATCTCATCTTCGCCCTCATGACCAGTTGTTACCTTGGACTGTTTAGTCGAAGCAGACTCAGAAGCAGTATCAACACTGCCATCAGCCAACTCATCAAGCTTGAGAGTCTGACTCTTGGAGTATATCTTCTTCTGCTTCTGCGACACATTGGGAGGCTTTGGAGGCTCATTGCTCTTGAAAAAGTTGAAGAATCCCGCTAATGGTCCGCTGTTGGTTGAATCAGCAGAGTCAGATGGTACCTCATCACCATACGGCGTTGCCACAGAACGCAGACTCGCTCTGTCATCATCGACCATAGCCGTGCTTGGTGGTTGCGGAACCTCGCGCATATTTTCGTGAGTCTGAGGAGATGAAGTACCAGACTGTCCTGCTGAGCCGTTTCCAAGTTGCTTCTGGCGAGCCTGATTTGTGCCTGTCAACTCAGCCCATCCGAACCCAACGACTGTTTCGACCAGACCAGCATCTCGCCGAGCTTTCTCAACACGCCCAAGTCCCTGCCAGTCTAGGAACAACAGACAACTTGTGCGAAGCGGTACAATTCCATCGTTGACCACGTTGGAGTAAACGGTTCTGTTACGGAACTTCTTCAACGCGGTATGAGCAGGACCAGTAGGTAAGATTCTTAGAAGCGGTTTTGACTCAGGTTGCGTCTCCCCGTAAACCTTCTTATGCGCCGTCTCACCCAAGTTTCCCACAATAGCACCCCAACCACTCCGTGCGAGTGTCGGCGCTCTCCATGTCAGACCAAGATCCTTTCCTGTCCTGCCAACGAGGCCAGAGTCCAGAGCAAACTTGACGTATAAAGGGTTTTCGTTGCTCAGACCCAGAAATGGTGTAGCCAAAGCAACAAAGTTGATTGGCTTGATGAGGTCGAAGAACTGTGGTGAGTGTTTTTGTATATATGCAATGGCGTAAGTCTGAACAAGACCACCAAGAGAGTGAGCAATGAAACTTATGCTGGTAATCTTGTATGGACGTTCCGCCTTGTGAAGATGAGCCCCATCCTTGCCGAGGTGTATAGTACTGTGTTTGTGTACCGGCTTCTGTTGAGGATCGTGCTTATCAAAGTTGTGAGTTATGGCATCTGTCATTCCCTTCCCTGTCGGTAGGAATGGCTGATCTGGGTATGTCATGGACAGGACGTATCTAGCGAGCCTCTTCCCGAGATACTTAATTCCTCGTTCAGTTTTGGTCGAGTTGCCTGAATAGCCACGAACAATAACCTCTTCATCATCATCGTCGTCATCATCTTCACCCTCCACCCTGTCCATGTCCTTTGTGTCGTGAGAATCTGATTCGACAAGGCCATTGCCTGATTTCTCTCTCGCGGCTCGTTCCCGGGCCCGCCGTGCCTTGGCATCGATCTTGGCTTGCTTGACAGCTGCATCAATGCTCTCTTTCATGAAGAGCATATCTGCGCCAAGATTGCTGTGCAGACCATGTGTCAAAACCACCATGTGGACCTTTTTCTGTTTCTTTTTGGGTTTCTCTGGTTTTGATTCATCGCCTTTTGTTTCGGGATCGCCAGTCTTGACGACACTTTCTACATGCTGATCTGCACCTGAACGCTTTTCAGCGCGCCCTTCTCCTTTGTCATCCCAGCCTGGGAGTCTAGGAGTATTCCACAGTGCTGCAGTATCTTCGACCTTGAGTTGTATCGCGCGAGAAAATATACCTCGTGGCTGCGCAGCATGATGTCCTTCTTTGGCCTCCGCACCTTGTTGGTAATCGCTGATCTTTCCAGGCTGAGGAACTTGGGATTGTCCACCGACCACAGGACTCGAGCTGCTGAGGCTTAACGACTTCTTGTCACGAGCCAACACAACCTCAAACCCAACAGCAGCAGAAGTCGAAAACAGAATCTGCGAAGAGACCTCAACAATCCAACTGGCGCTTTCATGATCGTGCTCTGGCGCTTTTCCAAAGCCTCCGTGACTTCCTAACCCAGCAGTCTGTCGGATTGTAACCGGAACCACAAGCTCACATTCCCAAGAGCCTCCCGCCTTGACCATGGGCTCAAACTCTGGAACTCCATAGCGCTCAGGATATTCGAACTTCTCGTTGGGGTTGAAAGCAGCGGGGTAAGCGGCGGCGGAAAGAGTATATGGTCCGTGGACGAAAGCGGCTCGGAGAGCGATGGCCGAGGTGTTGCGCACGCGCAGGAAGAGCTTCTCAGGTGACGGTAGGATCCGGTCTTGAGACGGTATATATGTTATAGTATATCGAACGACTTCGCCTGTCTTGAGGCTGCCGACTTGATGGAGGAGAAGCATCTCGTCGCAGGCGGATGTCAGGTCGTCGTGGGACGAGACAGGTTGGTTGTAATTTGAAACTGCACGTGCTCGATTAAGCTTATAGATATTCGAGGGTAAGATGTCCTAGAAGGTAAGTTTTGACGTCACCACGCCTTTGAGCATTTGTTTCGAAACACAAGACCAACTATCGCAGAAACTAGAGGAATAGTCGATTTAAAGAAAGATGACGGTGACAGGGGACCTCAACCGAGGGAGCCGAGTTCTAAACAGTTGGTGACCGTAGAGAAAAGTACAGAAATACAGGAACGGCAAAGACACAGGCAGAAAAAGGGTCTAGAAACAAAACATGGAGCACATGCAGTGTAATTGTATGTACAATGACGGTAAGCTCGCCCTTGTTTCTGTGGTGTCCTCCAATCTCGCTCCGTCGAAACCGGTCATTAGAGAACGATGGGGGCCAATCAGCGCTGAGCGTCGACATCACTCCTATGGCGGGGCAGTTTGTTTTAGGGGCCTACGGGAGTTTGCAGGGGCCCGAGCTTCCCGCTGAGTGAGGTCCTGTCGGGTTTAGTGATCAGCTGCTTGCGATGGGCATCTCATTCCACATTACGCGGTCATTTTATACGAGAACGCTACTTCATTCCGTGCCTTGATATTAAGTTCTGGATGACTTCATTCATTTGAACTCTTAGGGCTCATACTAGTTGCTCTTCTATTGTGAAGACGACCTTAGCAAGGACACCGTCTTTTTTGTACACCAACTTGGGTGCGATGCCAAACACATGTAGGCTGACTAAGATAATCGTGCCATTCATCTATCTCACCACACATTCATATCTGCCACTTGAGGAGTTAAGAAAACATCAGACCTTAATATAAAGCATCAAAGTAAACTCAGCAACTGGATTATCATTACAAGTTCAAAAGCCAGGTATACTGACATATCCTGATATATCCTAAACTTGAGATAAAGATGTGATCTTGCCAATCTATCCTGTCTTGCTATATCACAGTTGAGAGCTTACACGATGCCCAAAATATCAAGGTCTCAAACCCAATCACTAAAGCGATGCAAAGGCTTCGACCACCCAAACGCCTCCTCTGACAATGTTCTAGTTATTATACAGCCCCTTGAGCCCATCCGCAGTGCGCTTACCCAATGCCTCCAACGTTCCCATGCTAAGCATCTCGAGTGTGCTAATCTCAAAACCAAATGTGAGTTTCCACCAGCCACGTAATTCAATAGCAACCAACGAGTCAAGTCCCATATCCGCGGTGTTCATGCCGATGTCAAGGTCCACGTCGCCCGTGAGGAGCAGGCTGGCCAACTTCTTGCCAATCTCCAAGGCAAGTGTGTTGACAGCCTCGTGAGAGTTGAGGATGCTGGGATCCTTCTTGACCGAAGAGAGGAAAGCACGGAGACCATCGTTTGCTGGCAGTGCGCCACTTTGGCCACGGCCGATGTTGTGATATGCCGCCATTCTCACGTCCTTGCTTAGACGCGTGCTACTCTCTGCGCTTCCTAGAGGAACAGTGGGAGCAACACCGAGGAGGAATGCATCGCCGTACTCTTGAGGAGAGGACGCAGGCATCAGAGCAACGTTAAGTGCTTCGACTAATTCACTCTCGCCCACAGGACGCCATCCGGTGCCCTTCATCTTCCGGAGCAAGTCCTGGTTCTCATCAAGATATCCAATGCCCTCCATGGCTCCGAGATCAAGGGATGTGCAAGGAAGTCCCATTCCAGCTCGGTATCGAGCGAAAGCATCGAGGAAAGTGTTTGCGCTGGCGTAGTTGGCTTGTCCGACTTGACCAAGTATGCCAGATAAAGAACTGAAGAGCAGGAAGAAATCGAGTGGGCACTTGGCAGCCAGAGACGCGTTGTGTAGGTTCCAGGTACCCTGAACCTTTGGTCGAGTTGTTGTCTCCCACTCTTGGAACGTCATGTCCTCAAACATGCGGTCTCGAAGAACCATGGACATTTGGATGATGCCTTTCAGAGGAGAAGAGGCCTCGCCAATGGCGCGGGTGACGTCGTCGGCGTTGGTGACGTCGCCACGAATGAACTGGACACTGCAGCCCATGCTCTCGATCTCCTGCTTGAACTTGTCATGCTGAGTGCTGCCTCCGGCGCTACGAGACAGGTACACTAGGTTTCGGGCACCTCTTTCGACCATCCAAACGGAGAGGGCGCGGCCTAAACCACCAAGGCCACCAACAAGCAGATATGATGCGCTTCCGTCGAGTTGGAGATTAGTTATCTTAGTGGCCTGAACAGGGCCAGTCAGAGGCCTGCCAGCAGCATCTCGGATCTCAAGAACAATCTTGCCCATGTGTTTGCCTTGTCGCATGTGTCTGAAGGCATCGAGGACCGCAGAGCCAGGGAACACCTGATCGACCCGGATTGGTTTGAGGATGCGGTTGGAGAAGCAGTTCATAATAAAGGAGAGGAGACTACATATGTTAGGAATGATTTTCTTATCAGGAGGAATAGTGACCTACCGGTTGATAACCTCGGGACGTTCAGCTCTCAGTTGGTCAACATCCAGGCAGCAATAGTTGCGGTTCTGCAAGAAAGGGCCCATATCAAGCTGGGCGTTCTGGAGAAGATCCCTCTTGCTAATCTCAACCATGGTGCCCCATTTGGCGACGCACTTCCAGGTTGTGTGCAAAAGTTCTCCGCTCAGCGAGTTCAGAGCGACATCGACACCTTTACCTCCAGTCTCTCGCAGCAGATCTGTGGCGAATGACGCATCTCTAGAGTTGAAGATATGGCTTCTGGGGATGTCGAATGTCTTGGTCAAGTACTCAACCTTGGCTTCACTGCCAACTGTTGTGTAAATCTCGGCACCAAGCATGCGGGCGACTTGAATAGCAGCAAGTCCTACACCGCCACAACCGCTGTGAATGAGAACGGACTGCAAAATGTGTTAGCATCAGACTAGATACAGTCAGTATATGTGTTATTTGGACGTACCTGGCCTCTGGTAAGGCGTCCCAGATCGATAAGGCCGTAGACAGCAGTTAAGAAGACAATAGGAATGGCCGAGGCTTCAACAAAGCTGATGTCGTCAGGCAGCTTTTGGGCCAGAAGTTCAGGTACCCTCACAACAGTACTGAAGGTATCCTCTCCGACAAAGATAGTGCGATCGCCAGGACGAAGCTTGGTGACGTTGGAACCAACCCTTCGAACAACGCCGGCCGCTTCGTAACCAAACTTGAGACTCTTGGGCGGTGGGATTATTCCCATGGCAACTAAGACGTACTATTGCATCCAAGTTAACAAGGAAACATAAGTATAGGAAAGGTACTTACGCGGAAGTTGAGGCCACTGGCATATACTTCAACCTCGATCTCGTTGTCCTTGGGATCAGTAGGAGGTTGTGATGCCCAGAACAAGCTCTCCATACGACCTGGCTGTGTCATAGTGACATATGCCTCACTCTCACTCACTTTATCCTCCAACTCCTTATCCAGAGCGGCCGGGAAGATTCGATTCACCAGAACCTCACCCTTACTGATGACATACTCCAGATCCGGGCCGAGAACACCATCCTGACTCCTGGCCTGGAACTGGGCCAGAACTTTGACCAGAGTTGCCAGATTCTCGGGCGATGTGATGCTGTCTACCTCACAGACAGCAATATCCGTGGATGTTTCGTTGCGGAGAGTGCGAGTGAACCCTATTGTCTGAGCGAATCTGGGATCCTGGCACTCAACGCTCGACTGGCGTGTTACCCAAAGAAGACCATTGGGGTTCTGGACGCTGTTGACAAATGTCTTGAGCTTTGTGAACCCTTCGGCGTCGATACTCTCGATGAAGGGGCCTTGCTCATCGAGAACAGCCATCATGTCTTGACCAGGGGGAGGAGTCTAGTCCAAAAAGCACCGATCGACAGCGTAGCCTTGAGCTTCAAGCTCCCGTGTCAGCTCAGAGGGCCCTTCTCCATGACACAGCAAAGTGATTCGCTTTTTAGGTGTATTCTTAGGCTCCCGTCTGGCCACTACAACAGTAGCAGCCCAGGGAGCCAGACTCAACTGTTCCACACCGACAAAGTTGGATGTTTCCAAGAGTCTTTGGAGTGTTTCCGGTCCTACGATGGACCCTTCGACACGTTCGTCCTCATATGACCACCATCCTTGAGCAGTTCCAAGAACGAACTGCACCCATAACGAATCAGGTCGAGGTTCCTGGAGTAGAAGTCTTCCATTAGGGCTCAGCAAGTTACGAAGACTCGCGAGGGACTTCTCCGCGTTTCTGGCCGAGCTCACAGCTCCTGGGGCAATAATGAGATCGAACTGTCGATCATCAAACCCTTGGTCCGCTAGACTCTGGCTGAGATCAAGAGTCGTGAATTCGATGTCAGACACTAGTTTCTTGAGGTGTTCGCTCGAAGCCTCTGGCATACCCAGTAGAGGCGTGACGATGGTATACTTGGAGAATAGACGAGTGCCGTCATTGCGAGTCAGAACCTCGATGGCCTTGGATGTTGTCTCGATAGATCCTGAGTAGAAGTCAAGAACTCTGAGTGTGGGCTTTTTGTTGCCGAGACAAAGGAGGAAGTCTGAAATATCCGGCTGAGACACCATTTCAAGTGATGAGTAAGAGCCGAGCTCGTTGACTTCGGCCTCTTGTTGGCTCAGAAGATCACGAAGCTTGTCATAGGTCGCAAACATTGCTTCCGCTGCAAGTCTTGCTGGCGATGTCCCGTTGTCCTGGATCTTCTGGGAAAGAGACTTGGACATGTCGGCCAGTTCCACGTCGTCAAAAGCTGCAAGGCCCGGCTCCATGACTTTGTCGAGCCAGTTCTTGTACTTGATCAGATGTGGGACTTGAACATCAACACTGGCAGCCAATCGATGCGCCTGGGCGATCAATATCTTGGAAAGCTCCGTTAGGTTTTTGAACGAGTCCTCGGTATCCTCGGGACACTTCACAAGATCCCCAAGCGACTTTAAATCGATGTCTGGCACCCACTCGCATCTTGCCGTGATGGGAACTTCGGCATTTTCGCCTACATCTCCCTCTTCAAAGAATGAAGAATGGGAGTTGATGACTCGCATGACGGGCTTCGATCCTGAAAACACGGTACCGCTACCAACGAGGTCCTGACCAAGCTCTGAAGACACCTCGATGCTCACTATCTCATCATTGCACCGAGCCATGGTCATGAACTCAATGCTTGAGGCAACGAGTCGTCGGTAGGAACGGCAGATTCCAAGCGTAGATGTGCAGCTCACTAACTGATAGAAGGTGTCGAGGACAATAGGGTGCATGTGATACTCTGAAGCATCATCCCATCGGTTCTCACCATTCTGTATAGTAGTTGAGGCTTGATGGGGTGGTTTTGTCGATGTACAGATGCTTTCCATGGTGTTGAAAGTAGGCCCATAGGTAAGCCCCTTTTCAGAAACGACTTCATACCACTTGGAAGCATTGACCTCTCGTGGCAGCACATCGCCACTTTTCTTGATAACCTCTTTCTCAGGGAATGGGTTCTGCTCTCCCCGAACCTGTCCCCAGCAATGCTTGATCCATACGTGGCCATTGTGTGAGCTCACAGAGAACTCCCACCACTCACTGTCTTGCTCCTCTGTCAACTTCACACGGCGCAGGGTAGTGACAATCTCTGTAGCACCATCTTCCTCAATAACCAAAGCCGTGTGGACCTTGACATTCCGCAGGCTAACTCCTTCTTGGATCCCAGTGATTTGTCTGCAGGCTTCTGATGCAATAGCAATGTATCCTGCAAAGGGGAAGACTATCGTCTCACCGATCTTGTGGTCAGCAATCCATGGGGTACGAGACACCTGGATGAGATTTCTCCAGGATGGCTCTAGGCTGGTACTCTCATGGCTCCTTATTCCCAGGAGGTTGTGGTCCGGGAACTCTCGCTCTCGCCATTCTTTGGCCAAACGAGACTCGAAGAAGAGACGATTCTGGTGATTCCAGGGGTAGCAAGGCAGGCTAGCGACGCAAGAACCACTGGGAAGCAGTGACTTCAAGTCAACATCCATATGCAAAGTGTACAGTTTTCCAATGGCCTGTAGGAAGTTCTCGACACTGTTTTGCTTTCTGACCAGGGATGGGACATACGAAGCCTTGCTTGCTTTGTCGGCCAGAATCTGCCTCAGGGGCCCAGCAAGAGCGGAGTGAGGGCCAAGCTCCAAAAAGACTTGGTGATGGTTTGGCTCAGAAGATGCGATGATTGACGACACGGCAGATCGGAACAAGACAGGTCGTTCCAAGTTCGTCTGCCAGTACTTTGGACCAAGCTGATTCGCTTTTTCTGTCCCAGAAAGGAGTTCGCCAGTCACACTGGAAAAGAAAGGGATCTGAGGTGCTTTCCCAACAACTCCTGAATCAACGAGCGCGGCGTGGTAGATCTCGCCAGCACCCAGCATGTGATGAGAATGATAAGCCTTGTCGACCTTGAGAGTAGTGGCGGGGATTCCCGGGTGGGCTTCTTTCACCTCAGCCACTACAGCTTGCAGAGGTTCAATGTCGCCAGAAATGGTGACATTGGTAGGCGAGTTGTCACAAGCGATCACTACTCCGGGCTTGAGATGCTTCTCCGCCTCTGCCCATCCAAGACCGACCGCAGCCATTCCACCCTGTAAGTGCTTCTGCTCAGCAGTAGTTGAACCACGGAAGAAGGCAATGATGATGGCCTCCCTCGCCGTCAAAGCCCCAGCAGCGTAAGCAGCAGCAATCTCACCGCTAGAGTGACCAACAACAGCATCAGGCTTTACCCCGACCGAGGCAAATGTGTCAATGAGGGCAATCTGTAACGCGGTGCACAGCGGTTGAGAGAACTCAGCTTCGTAGATTCTGCTGGTTCGGGCTGGTTTGAGAATCTCTTCGGCGAGAGACCAGGTTGGCGAAGCAGTACCTAACGTTCCAAGATGATACTGTAGCGCATTTATAGTACCAGAGAATACGCTGTTGGAGAGCAGTAACTCTCGTCCAAGCTGGGGCCAAGCAGCGCCCTGGCCACTGAATACCATGATGAGACAACTTGGGGAAGATGGATTATCTCTGGAGAGCGCGGAGGTGCTGACTTCAATGTTTTCCTTGGTAGCGATGGCAAAAGACCTGTGGTTGAAGTGTTCTCTTCTGTTTGCAAGCGTGTATGCAATGTCAGATAGGTTCGACACATCTCCACTGTCAAAGAGGGCCTGGTAGCTGGCAGTCATTGCCTTGAGAGAGGGCGTAGTCTTGGCCGAGAACAGCAACAGTCTGGGGCCCTCGTCCTGAGAGTCTGGTTCGGTCACTGGCTTAGCGATAACTTGCGGGTGAGATGCCATGAAGCTCTCGATAGACTCAACAATAACGTGGGCGTTGGAACCACCAACACCAAAAGAGTTGATACTAATACGCTCGTCACGTCCCGCAGGCCATGGTGTTGGTTCCTCGGGAATGACGAGCTTAGCGCGCTCGAAGGGAATCTTGGGGTTAACGGGCGAGTACTTGATGTTGGGGGCGATCATATTGTGCTCCAGAGACAGGGTAGCCTTGAGGACGGCAGTAAGTCCAGAGGCACTCTCAGAGTGCCCCAGGTTAGGCTTGACCGATCCGAGGTAGATTCCCTGTTCGCCAAACACAGAAGCAATCGCCTCAGTCTCGATTGGATCACCAGTTGCAGTTCCTGTTCCGTGGCACTCAAACACAGCTGTCTTTGAAAGATCACGGATGCCTGCGACGGAGTACGCTCTCCTGATCAATGTCTCCTGGGCCGTAACACTGGGGTTCGTCAGAGGATTAGTCTTTCCGTCAAAGTTGGCGGCAGCACCAGAGATGATGGAACGAATGGGGTTCCCGTCTCGGATAGCGGCGCTCAGTGACTTGATGTAAATGGAGACGATGGCGTCACCGCGAGCATAGCCGTTGGCTTCGGCGGAAAATGTCTTGCATGAACCATCAGGGCTGATAATACCTTGGTCGGCCAATCGTGTAAGCAGATCAGGGGCCAGGATGAGACTTGTTCCTCCGACAATGGCAGATTCGCAGTCACCCTTGCCAATGGCCATACAAGCCTCGTTAAGACTGACCAACGCAGATGAGCAGGCGGTTCGGATGGTCATGCTATGGAATCGTTAGTCACCGCCAGTATCAATAAGTGAACTTTCATACCTTGGCCCTCTCAGATCCATCTCGTGAGAGATACGTTCCGAGATCATAAAGTCATGTGATGCAATAGTCGAAACAACACTTCTGTGTAGAGGATCTCTCCCCATGATATCGTACCAATCATTCGCAAACGAACCGATATATACACCGGTGCTCGAGCCTTGGAAGTTGACCTCACCAGCATCATCGACCGACTCCCTGGCCACTTCAAGCATCAGCCTCTGCTGAGGGTCGAGCCACTCGACATCACGGCGAGACATGGAGAAGAAGGATGTATCTAGCCCGGCCAGATCAACGGACTCGTCGAGGAAGTAGCCGTACTGACAGTTGGCACTCCCAGTCTTGTGAGCATTATAGTAACCGTCAATATTGAATCTTGTCATAGGAACGCGGCTTCGAGCGTCGCCTCCCTCGAGAAGAAACTCCCACAAGTCACTGGGAGAGGCAATTCCTCCAGGGAGTCGACACGCCATTCCGCAGATGGCGACGGGTTCAAAGGGGGGTCTTGAGCCATTGGCTTCAGCAGCAGTAGGAATGGGCATGGTATGTCCGTTACTCTGTGCGCTGTGGCCGTTGATACCCTCAGTATGGTTCCCATCTGGAACATGGCCATTGGTGTGCCCGTTGGTGTGTCCGTTGGTATGGCCATTGACACGTCCGTTGGTATGGCCATTCATGTTTCCGTTGGAGGTTGCGGTATTATGGCCATTAAGCTCGTTGTGGCCGTTTGTTTGAGTCATGTCGTCCAACTTTTCTAAGAGAGTATGAAGTTAAGGTGAGAATGGATAGAATTATCTGTTCAAAGTCACTTCCATAACACTTCAGCTGCTCATGAGCTCTTATGTTCTCTCACATCTAGCCATTAGATTACACAATTCCAACTTGCTGAGGCTGGCCGACTTCCTATTCGGTCAACCGTACTATCCCTGAGACTGGCATTGTCATCTCTGGACCGACAACTTTTCCTACAACCCTTGCAATTACCTACACGCAGCTGTAGAGCACAATGGGGCTCATTCTGCAAGGTTCGATCACGCCTACAGTGGAACCCTGTCCTATGCTCATCCCTGTAAAGTCCTGTCAGGCGTTCATGCACGTCAGGCAAACCGGGGTAGAAAGATGCATGTCAGCCACTGCAGATACAGTAATGCATGTCAGTTTCTGTCATGTCAGCCACTGTGAGGCCCTTTGCACTATCATTCAATCCGTGTAATATCATGGATATTACAGAATCTGTTGAGAGATAGTTGCTTCGTGTCTGCTGGGTGGACAGATGGGCAGCATAATTCGTTGAGGACTTAACCTCACCCTACCTATGCCACACGGTATCTAGCATATGTATATCTTTGCAATTCATCATCGTAATTGTTGTTGTTTTACTTCCTAGGTTTCATAACTAGTTAAACCCTTCCATATTATTCTTTCTGCTCATACTATACCGTCCAAATGTATTACAAATCCGTCCTTGACTCGCATCTTCGTGGCCAAACCCTCCGCGGTCCGTCGATGAAATCTGAAGCTGCCTTTTATCGCCGATTAGAACAATCACTAGATGTTACCCGTAAGAGAGGTGGTTGTATTACACTCAAGCCTCGATGGGAAGATGATGTCCTCGACTTCACGTCAAGTGACTTTTTGTCCCTGAGTCGATCGGGACGCATCCGTGACACGTCCATGGAAGAACTCGCTCGCTGCGGTGACTTCAGACTGAGTGCCTCGGGCTCACGCACACAATACGGTAACTATGATTACCTCAATGTGGTCGAGAAGGAGATCTCGACGTTTCATAATGCAGATACTGCTTGGATCTGTCACTCGGGCTTCCTTGCCAATATTGCCATCTTTGAGGCTGTGCCGTTACCTGGCGATGCTATTGTGTGGGATGAGTTCTCGCATGCGAGTACAGCCTTGGGCGTGAAGCTAAGCAATGCCGCTCACAAGATCTCCTTCAAGCACAACGACATCGATTCTCTCCGAGACGTGTTGACCTCGCTGAGAGATGAAGACGCCTCATTTCGCTCCGGGGCCAAGTCAATCCTCATTTGTGTTGAGTCAATCTATAGCATGGAGGGTGACATCTGTCCATTGCTCGAGTTTGTTCAACTGGCCAAAGAACTATTTCCTGCTGGCAATGCCCAGTTCGTTATAGACGAGGCCCATAGCAGCGGTGTTCTTGGCCCAAGAGGTGGCGGACTGGTAAGTAGTCACATCCCACGGGTTTACTGTTGTCTATCTAACCCTCGGAAATAGGTCCAGGAATTAGGCCTTGAGAAGGACATCGCCATAAGAGTCCACGTGTGCAGCAAAGCCTTGGGTGCAACCGGAGGTACGTCTCTCAGACTTTGTAGAGGGTGTCTTCTTTTAACACTTCGCTTTAGGTGTCATTCTGTGCAACCAGACCATCCGAAACGTGATTATTCAGAACGCACGATCACTGACTTACAGTGGTGCACCCTCGATTCCCATGGTAGCTTGTATTCGTGCTGGGTACCAACTTTTGCGAAACGGCCATACTCAAGATGTATGTCTCTGCTTTTCTCCCCTATACCGTGACCCTGACTTTCCTAACAACAACACAGCAACAGAATCACATCCAGGAGATTGTCAAGCATTTCTTGCAGAGCATCACAGATCACCCCGTATGGCAAGAGGCCATTGACGAGGGGTTGATAACTATCCCGCTCGCCGATGAATGGGAACAGCGTCCATATCACTCACACATCATGCCGATTCTCCTACACCACGGCCATGAGATGTACCTGTTCTACCACCTCATCATCGCCAACATGAATGCATACCCAATCTCGTACCCGACAGTGCCAAAGGGAGCCAGTCGTATCCGGCTTGTCTTTCACGCCCACAACTCTCGCGAGGAGATAGATGCTCTTGTGGCAGCGATTGGAGACTGGGCATCAGAGATGATTGAGATATCGCAGAGCGGCAATAAGAACTCCTTACCTTCTGCTGCACGGAAGGTTAACTCCATGCAACTAACACGTCAGTCTTGATACTTGGAGTTGAGTGAATGTTAGTTTAATTTAGTTAGACTAGGTCTTGTCAGTTAGTAAACTTACTCATTGGTATTATATCTTGCTTATAAACCTACAACTGTGAGGTTCAATGGCTCATATATCAAATCAACCAAGGTGAGGAGCTGTATGGGCGTAGAACAGCCAAAACTACAAAACGAGAAACCTGGTCTCTCAAATTTACTCCAGACTGGATACCTAACTTTGCCGAGAGGAGGGCCAGGACTATCAAGCTAGTCTCAAGTCGATACTATCACTCATTCTGTAAACCAAAGGAGTTCAACACAGAGATCAAGTGCCATTGAAGAACCAGTGTAATTTCGGGGCATAATTATCCGTATTTTAAACTATGGTTCTATCTCACATACTACCTCCTCAACTCCGAGTTCAACATATCATCCTCACAATGAACTGCCTCTCAGCAGAGAAGACTCTCGATGAGAGTATCTTCTGTCGAGTCCACCAGCGAATTCAGCAGATCACCAGCAACCCACTTCATCTTCTCAGCCCATTCCATATCAACACCCGAAGACTGTACCTCAAGAACGTTCGTCACATCATCACCCTCTTGGAAGATAGACCAATTCAGGAGGTAGTTGTGGCGCTGCTTGTCACTATAAGTCCAGTTGGCTGATGGCTGCGGTACATCGAGGAAGCAGAGAACTATCGTCGCGTTCAGGCGGGGGTCTGCCATGATAGAGTCGGGCAGGGCGTGAGAGAGGCCATCGAACTCGAGGGTATCAAGTGTAGCTTTATGCACCTCGGCCAACCACTCGTGAACGCGTCCGCTTGATGGAACAGGGGTACTAAATGGGACTCGGGAGAGCAAAGGACCAACTATTGACTCAACCCCTGGCCAAGGGAGAGTACGTCCTGATAGACTAATACAGAATCCGAGCTGGTTCCATCCTGTCACTTTTGCCAGAAACAAAGCCCAGGACGCATACGCCATGGTACTATTCGTAATGCCGAGTCTGTGAACTGCAGCGTTGAGTCTAGCTCTGCTGATAGGCGTGGGTGCTTTATATCGCACCAGATCAAAAGCTTGCTTTGATGGGAGTGTCGCTGGACGAGGGAGATTCAAGATGGCGTCTTTGTGAAGCGGTTGAATCATCTTGTTGAAAGCATCTGTTGCTCTCGCCAAGTTCTCCCTCGAATACTTCTGCATGAAGCGCGCAAAGTCCTGAAACCGAGGCCTTGAGACAATGTCTTCACCGGCCAACGCCCTCTCCACATCAGCCGAGAGTATTGCAGACGAAAACACATCAACCAATACGTGATGGGTTCGACTGATGAGTGCCAAGGCCTTACGACCAGGTACAGAGACACATGTCATATCGCAGTAAGGAACTTCCGTATCTGATGGCTTGAGGCTTTCCAAAGATGACCAGGCTCTCTCCTCGGCGGCTGCACACGCTGCCTCGAAGTTGTCTTGCTCGACAACCACGTCATGCCAGTCAAGATTCAGTCTGCCCAGATCAGAGAGAGTAAACCTTTCCAGGTCAAAGCTTGTTCGGAAGATGCTATGTGCTGACCAGACCTTGACGCAAGCATCGCGAATCTCACTGGCGGTTGGCGTCTTGGAAGCATCTCCAACGTAGCGAGTCGTACCAATAAGAGCACAGAACTTGGGATATTCCAGAGATCGATTTAGGAATAGCCTCTGTACTGGAGTTACTGGGATATCACAGAACCCAACCTCTGGCTCTTGGTCACCTCCTTTGTCATCTGAGGGTGTCGATCTCTTCAAGACATTTTGTAGTTGACCAATGGTATCCAGCTTCAGCACATCGACCACAGAAACAGAGAAACCCTTCTTGTTCAGTAGATTGGTGAGTTTGAGAGCTGTAAGAGAGTTTCCCCCATTCTTGGTGAATGCTGATGTCTCATTGAGCCGTTGGGCCGGAACGTGTAATACTTGAGAGAAAGCCGCGCGCAGCACGTCATACGTCGAAGCTGTCTTCGTTTCTCCCTCCAACGCAAGCTCTTCCTCTTCTACTTCTCCCTCATCGAGTTGCTCTTTGAGGGCACCTCGATCCGCCTTTCCGTTTGGTCGTAGGGGAAAGGAGTCTAGGGCAACGATGATGTCTGGGATGATAAAAGGATCATAACGCTCTCTCATAAATTGACGGAGCTCCTCAATGTTGACCTTGGCGGGTTGAATACATCCTACCAGACGCTCTCGCCACTTGAAGGCCACGGCAACTCTTACAGGCTTGAATGAGGCGAGTGCTGGCTCAACCTCAGTATCGAGGTTGACAAGAAACCCTCTATTCTTGATCAAAGAATCTGCTCGCCCAGCCCAAATGATTTGGCCATCTTTGTATCGTCGAGCAAGGTCTCCAGTCCTGTAAAACCTTTTCCCGTTCCACTCGATGAATTTCTGGGCTGTGAGTTCAGGGTTTTTATAGTAGCCAGCTGCCAGGCCTGGTCCCGTGATCATGACCTCGCCGTAGCTGCATTCCTGCAGATTCTCATCTACCAGAACAACCTCGACGCCTGGGATAAGCTCGCCAAACGGAGGGTCCTCCCCTGGCTTGAGTTCTCCAAAGCTGATGGTGACAGTTGTCTCTGAAGGGCCATATGTGGTGAGCACCTTGCGAGTTGGAGTGATCCAGCGATTGACGACATCCATTACGGGTGCTTCGCCACCGAGATATATGTACTGGACCCTATCATAGCCTCCAGAAGGATCCATGACAGCGAGCATCGAGGGTGTCATGCTCAGAACCTCACAGGTGGTTGAGGCTTGAGGGAAATCGGATGGCGAAGCCAGTACCAACGTGCCACCCTTTGTCAGGCTCAGCCAAACAACACCGGCGCATCCTATGAAGATGTTTAGTACCAATTACTCTCATGAGAGATCAAAAAGCGACAGACATACCATCAAATGAAATGGAGTAAGCTAGAAGACTACGAAGCCCCTTCTCTGCCGTGATGACGTCGAGATTGTCGTTGAGTCGCACCATAGCAACAGAGCAAATGCCTCGGTGATAGACCATGACCCCTTTCGGCTTTCCCGTAGTTCCAGATGTAAACACAATCCAAGCAAGATCATTATATCGGAAGCCCCGTCGTATCTGGTCTAGCTGCTTGCACAAGAGGCCAATGCCCTCGGTGACAGGAGAAAGCAACCAAGAAGTCCGAAACTCCACCACATGGTCGACGTAGCTTGTCAACTCCAAGCCAGGACAATGGCTTGCAATGAGAGCCACAGAAGACGAAAGGTCAGAGAGTGCTGATTCTATTCTTCCACGACTCCAAGCCACAACATCCATGGGTATGTAGCAAGCACCGACTCTCAAGACACCTATGACGGCGGGGAGCATCTCGAGAGACATTTGGGTGAGTACGGGGACTCGACTCCGTGGTTTGACGCCTGCAGCGAGGAGTGCCTGGCTAACGTGAAGCGAAGCATTTCGTAGTTGGCCATACGTGAGTTGTTCGTCTTTCCACTCTACAGCAACTCTATCAGGATCTCGGGCTGCCCACTCATCGAACAGATCGACTACGGCTCTCTCAAGAGGGCGAGAGTCACCATTAGTTACGGTGTCCATGATGGGATGAAGAATATGGATGAGTGGTGAAAAGTCCAGTCGCACGTCCGTGAAAACCGGCCAAACAAGATTTTGTTGATTATCTGTCTTTCGTCCAAGATGCTTAGCAATTAAGATCCCTCATTCAGTACTTTTGAAAGGAACGCCCTTAAAATACGGAAGTAGACGTGCCCAGCCGAGGGCGGCGTTGTGCGCCTACCAGCGTTGTTTGAAAAAGTCTGACGGAGCATGTATGATACCCATGTTAAATCTGCAGGCTGACCATGCAGCCGGTGGATATGATTTCTTCACGTAATGGCTGACAGCTACATGCATGCTAGAACCCAAGGAGGGTGAGTAGCACAGAGTTGAAGTTGGGAGATGGCAGTGCATAGAAATGTTGGTATGCATGAGAGTCGCATGCTGAGGGGGGCCAAGTAACGGGAGATATGAGCTATGCATACGATCCAGATGAAAAATTAAGGCCTTGAAGACGTTTTGTAGACATTGCAATGATTAAATAGACCCCGATTCACTGGCACAGTCTTTGTTCACGTATCAGGCGCTTTTTCAGAGATATTCTCGTGTTCAAAAGTTCAAGCTTGTGAAAATAGCATAACGGTAGTTACTAAACAGAAAGCATCATGTCCTCACGGTCCTCCATGTGCGTGCTCGTCCAAGATCCTCTTAGAAACCTGCGCTACCAGGTGATACATCTCCAACAGATGCCGCCTATCCACCTTTGAAAACAGCAAAAAGTAAGCGACCCATGCTGAATCACCCGGAGACACAAACGTCCCCGCCTCCGCGTATAGTTCTGCCCGAGAGACATGGGCAGATATGTGCGGAATCTCTGCCAGGACCATGTCGATAAAACCAGGTGGCACAAAGACATGATCTCGGTGCACGGGAATCATGCAGTGCGCGCCCCAATACTGTGCACCTCCTCCTCCACCAATATCAACATGATCTCGGCCTAGAATCGAGGAGAAGGGTTGGGAGAGAGAGGCAAAACGCTCTGCGTCTCCAACAGCGTGGAGGAGCTGCAGTGCACCCATGTCTACCCCGTAAGTATACAGACTCGCCCATGTTCCCGCTGTGCCCGGCGAGCGAGCGTTGACTTCGATGAGGAACACATCCGGGTCTTGTTCGCGAGACCTGCTCACGGGGGCTAGATCAAGGATGTTGTCGCCTCGTAGGTCTTGATATTGCATTGAAGAGTTTTGCATCCGAGCTTCCACATGAAAAACACCAGATCGAAAGCCTAGCTGTAAGAGACTGTCGTGGAGAGAGTTTCGAATAATGCTCAACTCGTTGGCGGGTAAGCCACTGTTAGAAATTTGCACTGTCTCAACAAAGCTTTCGTCTGAAGTAGCAGCGCTCTTATCTCCAGGACATGGGAGATTGTCTGTAACTTCCAGGAAGAGGATCTGACCATCCCAGAGCACAAAGTTGGCGTCCAACTCAGGTCCATCGACGTATGTCTCGATAAGTACTCCTTGCTCCATAAGGCCCTCTATATCAAGTTCACGAACGGCTTGACGCATCGCTGCATCACCGCTCACTTTCTTGACGCCTCTGGAGAACTGACCACGAGATGGCTTCACTATCAGCGGGTATTTGAGTGACTGGAAGCTTTCCTGCATCTTGGCATCTTCTAGCTGGTCCACGCTGGTCAGATGCATGGCCTGGATGTTGGTCCTGTTGACAAGGCGGCGCATCTCGTGCTTGTAATGTGCCTTTTTCATACTCGACAGCGGCTCGGTGGGAAGCCCCAAGATCCCAGCTGCCTCAGCAGTTGCTATGACGAAACCGTCCGTGAATGTGACAATTCCGTCCACATGCTTGTCTTTGAGAGCATCCGCCATCCTCCGTGGTAGATCGGTGATGTTGCTCATATCAACAGGGATGAATTCTTGGCGAAGATGAGAATACTTGTCCTTCTTCAGCCAGTGATTTGGCTCATCAAAGACAATCAATGACATGCCAAGAGCCTGAGCAGCTTCGAAAAAGCCCCTCGAGCCATACATGCCCTGAATCTCATCGTACATTGGACGGCCGCCAACAACAGCCACTGTTCGAGCAAATGGCTTTTTCGGAACAATCCAGTTGAACTTGAGTCTCCTCTCCAGGTCATGCTGGAGCAAGCTCAGAGAGGAATTGTTGGTTTGTTTGGAATATCGCTTCACCACCAAAGCCCCTGGAGATGAGGGAAGCAGTGCAGAAAGGCTGCTAGGCCATTGCCAGTCTCCAGTCGCCAAAGCAGAAATCTTTTGATTCCGATTGTGAAAAGGAATGACAGTCTCGACGAAATCCGAGTGCCTCATCCTGACACTGATAATGTCGCTCCTGCAAAGATATCCGCTTCGTGGTGACAGAATGATTATGGCGGCTCTGGCTTCTGTTGCAGGAATGGAGGTTCCATTGGGGTAGCAAGTTTGCCGGATAAGAGGCTCTAGTGGACTTCCAGTTATATCTGCAATCGAGCCTCCAGCGGCATCCTGTTCAAACCATTCTGTGATGGGTACTTCTTGCAGGACGACATCAGCAGTACAAAAGTAACTAGATGTGCTCTTATGTGCAGAGATCTTCCACCGGCAGGAGAGGGCGAGGCATAGCCCTAAAAAACAATGTATATTAGAATATTGTATTTGACTGTGCATATAAAGAAACTACCCTTTTGTGTCTCGTAGGAGAAAGGTCTCTTGGACAAAGTCCGGCTTTTTGGCTGGGGCAGACGGCATTAGTTTGGATTTCTTGATTGGGAGGCAGTATTTAGGGTATCCGATAGATGTAAAGTGGAATAATTCGAGGTGTTTATCGAACTACTCTTTCAAGTTCTATTATCTCGATCATATCCCGAGATTTGATCTAGCTGCAGTTCAGCATGACACCAAGCATTGCAATAACTCACTAAGCAATTGTGTTCAAGACATCCCGCATATCGTTAGCTCTGCGATAATTCCTCCATGTCTCATCGAGGTGTCGACGATGTCTGCGAGTAGTGCAGGAGGTGTTGGTGTCTACATATGCATGTCATCCATATGCATATGCTTCATGTAGTGGCTGACATGCATATGCATATGGATGACAGTTCCACGTCTAAAAGCACCCCCTGTAGCATCTGTATCATACGGTTCTTAATTCACCTGAGAGAAAAAATCCTGGTCACCAACACTCTTAGTCTACTTCTGCACGCGACTCCGATATCTCACTATCGATTCGACATAGGCATTGGTGGAGTTTGGACACAAACAGGGTATATATACGGCTATAGCAGACTTCTCCAAGCGTCAATACGCATAAATAGATCACCCCAAACTTTCCTAGCCAATAGTATTCCGTCTTTGAATACAATGAAACCAGAGAGAACCGTCCTCGTCACGGGCTGCTCCGATGGCAGCCTCGGATCAGCTCTAGCATTGGCATTCCATGCAGCTGGATGGCGTGTCTTCGCCTCGGCTCGGAACGTGTCCAAAATGGCAGTCATGAAAGAGAATGGCATTGAGCAGGTCGAACTAAACGTCCAATCAAGCGAGTCTATCTCACGGGCTGTCAAGACTATTCAAGCTCAGACCGGAGGATCCCTAGATGCCCTCGTCAATAATGCAGGCTTGGGGTACAGCATGCCTATCATGGACACAGATATGGGTGCCCTTCGTCAACTATTCGAACTCAACGCTTATTCTATTGTCACCATCTCCCGGGCCTTTCTTCCCCTTCTGCTTGCTTCCAAGCAAAAGAATGCTTTGATCGCCAATAATACTTCTGGAATGGGCATGCTTGGCTGTGGCATGCCGTTTCAGGGGGGATACTCTGCGTCCAAAGCAGCAGCAGCTAGTCTGACCGAGAGCCTTCGCATGGAACTCGCCCCCTTTGGTGTTAAAGTCGTCAATATCGTCACAGGCCGAGTGAAGTCGACATTCTTCCAAAACTCAAACGATGCTGTACTTCCTGACGACTCAATCTATACCGTGGCGAGGGAGGCCATTGAAGGCCCGATGAATGGGAGGACTTCAGTAAGCGATAGGGAGGACGCGGGAGAGTGGGCCAAAAGAGTAGTTCAGGACTTGACTTCTGTCAATCCGCCACATCTGGTTTATAGAGGAGGTCAAGCTGGTACTGGTAAGATAGCATCTATTTTCCCACTGGGCACATGGGACTGGTTGTTCAAGAAATGGTCGGGAATAGATGTGCTAGAACAGGAGCTTGAGAAGCGAAGGAACCAGGGAAAATCCTAGATTTGAGTACAGGTAGAAAGCCAGGGATTCATCTGTACCTACCAATACATTGATAAGCAGTAGACTATTGACAATGGGCACTTACTTCCCCCCAGCTCTTACAAGATTCGCAAACCTGCTTCCTTCTGTGCTAGCCAACTCTCGAGGATTTCCAACCTCAACAAGCTTACCAGTATCAAGAACAACAACTGTATCAAAATCCATGATCATATCCAAGCGATGACTTACGGCAATCACCGTGTATGCGTCAAACTCCGTCTCGATGATCCGCTTGATAATGAGTTCCATGTCCTGATCGACGCTGGAGTTGACTTCATCTAGCAGCAACAAGCCACCTTGGTCCTCCATCTTTTCTGTCATACTCCCAGGGCCCGTTGTCCTCTGCGCTCGGGCTCGGCGTCGCAGCAAAGCACGTCCCATCGACATTAGTTGTCGTTGACCACCGCTAAGAGTTGAAGACGTCATGCCAGCATCGATACCGCCACGACCCTGAACAAAGTCCCATAACCCGATATCTTCAAGGACGGATTTGCATTCATCCGGGGTCGAGAGGCCGGAAGGGTCCAGATTCTCCTTAAATGTCGCGCCGTCAGGTAAGAAAACGGCCTCTTGAGGCACCGCAATGACTCGTTGACGAAGGGCATCTCTGTCCAGCCTATTAAGTGGGAGACCATCAACCAGAAAACCTTCATTGGGGGTGTCTGGCAGAGGATCGAGGAGTTTCAGCAGCAAAGATACAAGACTTGATTTGCCACTGCCCGTCCGGCCGCAAATGGCCACTTTTTCTCCTGGTTTGATGCTCAGACAAACGTTATCAAGGGCCAAATCGGGTTCACAATCGCTTGAGCTCTCTATTCTATAAGTATATTATCAGCAATTATCCTCTTGTTAGCACTTGAAAGAGAGTTGCGCTTACTGATAGCTCGCTGAAACGTTGTTCAGTTCCACGCTGCCACGTTGTGGCCAATTCTCCGGGGGTGTCAGGTCCTCTCCCTCTTTTCCCTCAGGCTTGACTGTTGCGTTGAAGGTCTTGAGCCTGGAGATGGCACCTATGGATGTTTCGAGACGTGTGTAATAAATGATGATACCAGATAGACTTTCTCCGAAACTCATGAGAGTAACCAAAGAAGCACCCGTGAACCCCGAATTTGAGTGCAGTCTAACTGCAAGTATTGTCAATACTGCTGCCAGTAGCATAACTACCATATCCAAAACGAGATTGAGCCACTCCTGCACCATGGCAAGAAGGTAGGCGGGTTGTTGGCTTCTATTGAGTAGCCTAGCATTCTTAGAAACTTCATCGGAGATGTAGCCTTCATATCATCAGTATAATCTTATCCATCAATTGCTGGGATGGCAGCTTATTGATTTGCTCAGTGGGTTAGTCACTTACCAAAAGCTCTCAGAGTCGTAATACCCCTCACAGTATCCATGAAATGGGTGCTGAGAGTTTGTAAGTCATTGAATTCTCCATGGAGAAAGGTTCTGCTGTATAACTTACTACAGGGGGCTTTTAGCCTCGAGGTCCAGAAGCCTTAGCTGCCTAGAAGTCCTAAGATAAAACCTTTGCACTGAGTAGAGTATAACAGCCAGGAATGGATAACTAATAGCCAAGTATGCCGATGAGATTGGCATAACTGCAGCTTGTCCGAGTGCTTGGAACACCTATTCATTGATGTTAGTAGTAGTAAGCCAGGCTTTGCTCATCACACAAACTTACACAGAACAAGGTATTCAACAAAGCATCTGGAAGTTCAGTATCGATCAAATTGAGATCTTGTGAGAAAAGATTGGTAATGACGCCGGTGTCGGTCTGCGTGAAAAAGGACAATGGAGCCTGGACCAACGTTCTGAGTGTATCATGATGGAGATTCGAACCAGCTCTCTTAATAGACACGATAAAAAGAGTGATGCCGAGGAGTAACAACGAGATCAAAGCGGAGACCTGCAACAACGCGTATATGCCAACATAGTAAGCATGGGAGTGACTTCGGGTGTCGGATGATATATCGTCAGTCCAGAATTTAATCCCTGTAGATAAGCCCATTAGTTATGTGAAGAATAGTGACAGATTGAAGCATTGTTCACTTACAAATGGTGGGGAAATTGGTAAAGAACCCCCAGAGCGCAGCCAAGAAGAAACAGCAGAAGGCTACCAAGAGTCCCATACTCAGGAAATAGTACTTATAAACCTCCTTGTCGCCTGTTGCACGGTTCAGGTCATCAAGGTTGACTTCGGCTCCTGGGGAGCCGTCTAGTGAGCCTTGTGAGTCCACTTGTGCTTCAGTCCGTTCTTTTGAAGCTGTTGTTTCGGACATAGCGTCACTCTCACCACCTCCAGCTGAATCACGTATGCCGAGGCTCTTGACGTAGCCTCCTTGTTCAGCAAGTTCCTTGAAGCTGCCTTGCTCCTTGATAGTGTTGTCCCCGAGAGAGATGACGTGATCAGAGAACGGGAGAAAGCGAACGCTATGAGTACACAATACAACAGTCGTGCATCTCTCTCGAAGTAAGCCCCCAGGTCCAAATACTCGTTGGAAGACGTGCAGCTCTGTATCTGCATCGAGACCGCTGAACACATCGTCCAGTATCACCAAGTCGGACTCTAGATACAAGGCACGCGCTAAGGAAACTCGCTGCTTCTGACCGCCCGACAGGGTGATGCCATCCGATCCAACGTTGGTTTGATCTCCTTGGATGAGTTTTGCAAAGTCCACTGACAAGGCTGTGGCCTGGATGACTGAATTGTATCTCTTTTCGTCGTATAGTGAAAAGCCGAGAATGTTGTCGCGAATGGACCCATTCCACAGAAAAGCAGTCTGGTCACAGAAGCCGATACGAGGGTATCGCATACTCAACACTACACTCCCTTGGCTGAATGGGATTTCGCCCAGAAGGGCCTTGCAGAAGGTTGACTTCCCTGAACCCACTGGCCCAACTACCATGGTGAGAGAAGACTTTTTGATATGTGCATTGATATCTTGAAGAACAAAGGCATTTTCTTTCCAGCCAAAATTGCCATTCTTTATGCTAATCATGGCAGAGTCGGGTGTCGTTTCAATCTTTGAGCTACCCGTGTCTGCTTCGATTTCGGTAAAACTGAGATTCTTCTTGCGATCAGACAGGACTTGGCGGAAGTCATGGCGAGTTTCACATTCTAAAAAGGCCTGGATGCGTCCAATGCAGGCGATTCCAGAGACTAGTTCGGGTATAGAGGTGAAGATTTGAGAGAGGGGATTGGTAAGGAGCATCAAAAATGCCAGACTTGTGAAGACCTTTGAGGTATCAAGTGAAGCCCGAGTAAACGCAAGGGTCAGGGGAGGACTGATCAGCATGGGCGTGAAGCCAAGCATGGCGGCTATGATGAAGATCTTGCGGAACCGAGCACCAGCAGCAAGCTCCTCTACTCGTAACTTCTGAACGAAGGAGCTCACAGTGGAAGCCAGGCCGGAAAGCTTGAGGTTCTTCATGCCAGCAATGACTGTAGCTGTCAAACCGACGCGTTTCTGCACGCCTGTCATCCACGCTCTCTGAGAATCTCCTGTGAAGTTTACCAGAACTCCCAAGAGGGTGAAGCATACCACAACCACTCCTATGGGTACCAGGAAGACCAGTCCCAGCCTGATATACAACATCCACGCAGCTAGGGCAGCCTGTATAACGCCTGCCCAGACATTATGCAGCATTCTGAGACCGAGTCTGATTCTTTCTATGTCGGTACTCATCAGAGTTAGGGCAGCATTATGGTCGTCTGCTCCGATGCGGGCTTGTGTGGCTCTGGAGAATATCTCTGTCACCAATATAGATCTAGTCATTGCTCTCATGCGGTGGTGAAGATACCTATTGTATGTCAGTCTCGATCCAAAGACTTTCTAACTATAATCTGACGCACCAGCAAAGAGCTGCCGAGACAGCCATACCAAGGTAGATCAGTATTGCAGCACCTATGAAGCCATACCCCACATTGGCTTCAATTTCAGGCTGCGAGAGATGATCCAACAGCTTTTCAATGAAGAATGGTTGACAGAAGGTGAAGCCTAGAAGAGCGAGTCTCAAAGGGATTGGCAGAAGGAGAGGGACAATGAGAGTCTTGACGAGGACTTTGACGAGACCATAGCTGTCTCCTTTGAGTTTGCTGTAGTCCATGTTGGCCAAGAACCTATCATGGAGTTGCTTGCTATGCAGCGCAACATCCAGAGGGTAAAGATCATCCATGGATAGTGTAGATCTATAACCCTGCAAGAAAATACTGTTTAGCCATGACAGGACGCCGAGTGAGAAGATATTGCTGGTTTCTTCGGGGCTATGATCATTTCTGTCCCACTGTATCCATTTGTTTTTTGACTTGGTTTCCAGGAACAGAATGACGACCTTGACGGCCAAAGATGTTGTGAAGACGGCACTGTAGGTATTCTCTGGTGTACTCTCAGAGAGCAGGAACAGCGTGCGGGACTGGGCAATGTCGAACAATAGAGTCAGGAACAGAAAGGTGTTTAAGAGGATCGAGGGACGTGGACTCCGGTTATGATCAGTATAACTGATCATCACCATAGCCAAAGCTGCTACGAGATTGAGAACAGAAGATGCGATGAAGATTGGAGTGACATGGAACGAGCCCATGCCGACTTGAATCAGCAGCGCGATCTGAAGGCCAACATATGTTATGATAGCTCCCTGATGCCAAAGTTAGTTGATCAGAATTAATGGACCTATCTATATCTTGGCGACGACATACCAATTTGATGAGCTGGAAGATTGGTGCGTGAACCACTAGGGGCTTGCGTGACAGAGTGATAGCGCGCCATAGTGAGCACACGATAAACAAGGTGCATGGAAGAATAGAGAAGAAGAGCTGTTCAAAGTGAAGGTTGAAGTCGAACCGGTCTCGGTTCATGTACATCAAGCCAAACTCGCCATCGTGGAATGGCATCTTGGCAGACTTGGCTGTTGTAAGGGTGAAGAGTCTCGTGTGTAGATGAGATAACTCGAGGTGCTACTCGGGATACCTTAAGTCGGATTTGATTAGTCCGGGTTGGCACTTTCGCTAGATTGCCTGTTTACAGTATGCAATACAGATGGAGCCCAGCCTAGAACCAGGGCGTTTAATTGCATGGGCTAACTAGGTGCTGGGTAGTTGAGTTGAGTTGTCAGGAGTGCTTATGACAAGTTGGCTTACATTCCAAGGCACGCACGCAGCGCAGTGTTAATACTCCTTCCTATTTAGAACTATCAGCATTTCTCCGTCGACCCATACGCATGTTGGTGAGAAACGAGCACTAATAATGCGCTACGACCTTGCAAGGAACGATAAATAGCTTCCGTGGCCCCTAGCCCTACCAACCAGGCTGATGCTGCAGATTTCCGATGCAACTATAGCTTAACTGCGATTGTATTTCCGGATAAGCAGCTCAAAAAGAAAAAGAAACTGACCCCCAAACATCCAATGCATGCATGGCCCGCAATCCTTCGAGCAATACCTACTAATGTATGAGGGCCACTCTGTCCATGCGCGATACGGGGTTGATTATCTTTGCGAGGCCGTACGTACTCCGCTCAATAATAATCTGGGTCTGAGACAACTTGGAAGGTAGTATCAACTCGAGGCGAAAGCGCCGTGAACTGGCATGATCAGTTTTCGTGACCCCTGCTCGTGGCTGTTGGTTCTATGAAACGACCAACACTCGGCCAAGATTAGATAGGACAACTCCAAGTAGTGGTGAGATCTTGAGTCAGATCGATAATTAGTTAGTTTAACTAGTTGGTATCTAGACCAACTTTGAGTTAAAGCACAAAAGATAAACTACTCGGGAAGATCCTACACTTAACCCTTATGCGGTTACTGTGCGCGGGACGGCAAAATCCCCGGCTGGGCCTACACTAGACACCCCAGTCTACCTTAGCCCACTAAAACGAGCATCTTGTCAGAGTACTTTTGATATATGCAATCAGCGTCAAGATCCTCGTAATTCTCGGACTTGTACCTACTGGGCTATATCCAGCGCATACACCACGTTACATCCACCAGGTCTTCAGGGATACTCCATCCGTGATTCGTTATCCAACCACTCAACTCGACCTCATCCAAGGCAGCATTTCTTTGTACTGGAGTTTTCGTATGTATGCACGAGACCCTGTTCTACAGTAAGACCAACGCCGTCAATCACCGTGGGCTAGCCTACCGAAATAATACGATGCAAGTGAGCCAAGATATTAGTGGCGCTTCAACTCAATATAAATACTCGTCGGCATAGACAGACAGGTCTTGGGCTCCCCACGAATACAGCAGTCCAAAAAACGCCGAGAGGTCTCTCCTGCTCAAGTTATTAGTATGTTCTTGGAAGAAGTCTTGGAACCTACTCCCAAGAAATCACGATCTCGTCGATCCACTAGTCCTAGGGCTGTTCAACGACGAAGGTAAACAACTCGATCCTAGGGATCTTACCCAAGTTATTCTTGCTAACTCAGAACTTGGGAAGAATTCAGAACAGATTATCTCAGCGCAACCACCGTAAGTATAAACTAGTCTCATATCATCCATACTGGCTAACTGTTTGAATATAGGGCGAAGAGCAAAAGAGAGCAGCGAGGCTACCAAGACACTGCCTCAGTGCGCAGGCGAAGGCGAAGGCGAAGGCGTAGACCCCGAAGTGCCTGCGGTACCCATGTCTGATAGAAGCACAATGCAGCAAGGCTGTGGTCTCGACCGGAGCCAAAACCTCCATTACCTGCCAGGGAGCTACCACGAGCCTCTCCAGTATGCGAGCAGTTCCGAAAACTCGGTCGATTACTTTGAACGCCAACAACTGTCCAACAGCCAGCTAAGCTCTGCTCCAGCAACTGCAACCTCAGCGTGGTATTCAGCAGTTGATATGCATAACCTTATCACACCCGACGACATGGTGTCTTTGTTCTCACCGGACCGGGAATGGTCACAGCCAGACATAGAACGTTTGTCAGCACCAATGGAGTCCAACGCTACCAGGCCAGAGTCCCAACCCCCCCTGTGTTCTTGTCGTAGCAGCTCGCAGCCGGTGCTTGGACAAGTCCCAGAAGGCTTTCCGCTATGGCGCCAGAACGAACAAGGGCCTGATATGCGCAGGATCCCATCGGCGCAGAGCCATTCTGACTTGGACTCGCATAGATCACGCGGGTAAGCCATGATATTCCGACAATATCTCGTAACTTAAGCATCTCCACTAACACGCATTTCAGTGAGACCGGCCATCACGGACCGGGGCCTAGTCTGCATAACAGCGCCGCAGGAATGCAGCATTCGACGCTGCAAGAGCATGCCAATGCTTGCTGCAGCAGCAGGCTGTCATCTCTATCTTCCTCCAAAGTATCCCCATCGGCGGAGGAAACTAGCCCGTCTCCAGTAGCCGAGCTGACCCGCCGATTCGACTCCATCCTAGAAACCATGCGCATATCGGGTTTCCACAACTTTGACGAGATGGCAGTGGCTTACTATACTGGTCGGTTTAGCACAGGAAGTGTCCCGTCAATCATGCAGTGTTCTAGCCGGGGCCGGCGCTTGAAAGTCATACTGCAGAAACTTCACCAGGACAGCCAGGAATGGCCCAAGTGGGAGTCCCGTGGGCTCCACGAGAGCATGTCGACTGTAACTGGTAAGAATTAGTCTATTGGCCCGTCTCCAATCGACTTGAAACTAATCCGATTTCATAGCATCACTTTGCGTTGATGAAATTGAACGATTGATCAGGGAAGAATTTCCAGCTCAAGGTCAAGACAAATCACCATGTAGTGGGACGACACTCGAGCAACTTCTCTCAACTTATGATATTGGAAAGATCTTCTCCAGAAGCAAACAACAGTCATTATCTCCCCTTCCATCCGAGGTAGCTCCAGACAAGGTAAGCGAAACGTACTCGTCTTCGGATTTCACTAAGTTACGGTTAGATACCGCACCTCTGGTCATTGCTAACCGAACTGGCTGGCATACGGAACGTGTATTGCGATGAAATCGCTAGGTTATTACTTGGTATTCTTCTCTTATCCAGGAGACTTTTATAAAAAATAGATGCAAAACTTGTATTGTGAGGGTTATATATTCGTGCTTCCTAAGGGCTACTGCAAATATCTGTTCATTCTTGAATTAATGCACTGGCCAAATCAAGAGCAATTGTTTAAACCCATATTGTTGCAACAATTGACTAACATATAAGGCAAGAACATCGAATTGCTTGATATGTCTTCATAGATTCTATATGTGCCCAGCCTCCCGAACTATATTTCACTATTACGGCTGAGGTGCATATCTGACTTGGTTTAGTTCCGAGGTTTGTGGCAAAACTATAGTGTGTATTTACTTCTGCGGAAGCCGGGATACTTCCTTCGTGAGTTCGTAGACCTGCGTACGAGTACTGGGCCACACACATCTTCGAGGGAACCTCGCTTCTTAGTAGTCAATTACCTCGCCGGTCGAGAGCACCCGAATCCCATTGTCTATCAGTCTCTGCGGTGGCCGTTCCCAGTTTAGGACCTTATTGCCCCTGTCCCGGATATCCTGCCGCCTCTCATACCAGTTGTCTACTGTGACGGGGGTCGTCAAGCTCGTCGACGACTACCCGGTCAAATGGAACGATATGTGGGTGGTGTGGGAGACGCATCCATATGTTCATCTCCTTCCAGGACATTTGCGCATATTGCCACAAGAAGTAGTATTTGAAAACGGCCTGCTTAAGAGTTAGTTTTATGGAAGGGGGATACAATCTAGGACCGGTATCTAACTTTCTCCTTTTTAGCAAATCCCTCTCGGCAAGGGGGGTACGCAACAAGATCCGCGTCGGGACCAGCCTCTTTAGTTCTTCAAGTCTGTCTCGCTGTACGGTCTAAATTCCTTCTGCAAGACAGGCATCGTAAAGAGATAGGTAGTATATACAGCAGGTTGTGTCGTTTTTGGGGTCCGTATATGCCGAGATAATCTCACCGGTAGGCGATAAGTGTATTCTGTAAATGGCGGGAGACAGTTGGTCGGTATGGCGGCTGGAATGTTCTATAGAAAGACTCTCGTCGTCTTACTTCCCATGCATAGTTACTGAAACGACCCGTCTCTGATCCTAATCGGTAATATGCCAAGTAGTTGGTCCACCAACAGGGATATCACCGCTTAAAGCAAAGTACCTGGACTCGTGATCAATCATATTGCTGAATTCTTAAACGATGAAAAGCATGGGGATTAAAGAAGAATGGAGCAAGGCAAATGTGTGTATGGGTAGTCTAGATGGTAGGTCTGAGGGTGTGTTGGTTGTCAGTTATATTAGTTGGTAGCCCTCGACTACTCTACACATCTGTTGCCGCGCCGCAGTATAATGTTGCCGCTTATCAGGTCACTAGTTAGTGCGATGAGTGCCTCGGGGGACAATAGCATGGGCAATTCCTAGAGTATGTGGTACGTTGGAAGACGGGACGGCAACTATCTTGTCGTGCCTTGTGAATTGTGTGGCCTAGATATTGGTGCAGGTTATCTCGTCCTCATGAACCTTTCAGCCACAATAGAGGCATTTTGGGAGAGGAATGAATAATTTATGAAGAAATATCAAGGCTAGATGACATCAAGAACTATCCATCCTATCGCTGTACGACCCAATGCTCACACTCGCTTATGCTTATGCTCCTACCATGACATGTCATGCGTCTAGAGAGTTCTGTTGGCCTTTGCGTAACATCCCATGCGACAAAATTAAACCCTAGACCAAAAAAGAAAGACTATCATACCAAAAAGAGACAATCTGTCAATCTTGCTCAAGATGAAAACTGTATAAGAAATCGTTTCGTCAAGTTTATGCAGTCACAGTAGCTGCAGCGGCTATCTCCCCCTCGGGATCACCGGGCTCTACAAACGTCCGCCAGACATCGATCCGGTTCGTTCCCGGAGTCCGTGGACCAAGACCGGCGAGCTCGGAAGACCTGCGGTTCTCGCTGCGTCGCGTACCCTTCCGACTGCGCGAGCTGTGGCTGTAGTACGAATCGTCGTCGTCGTAGGTATTCGGATCACGCTCCACGATCAGAGGACCTACACCTCCGCGATATCCCTCCTCTATCACGGGCGGTGGCATCCCCATTGGTGGTGGGCGCATGCTTGGAGAGTCTGGGGCGTAGTGGTCTTCGGCATGGCGTCTGTCCATGCGGCCACCGTAGTATCCTCCGCTTCTGGGGGTGCCTCTTTCAAAGTCTTTGGGTGATGGGGGAGCACCGCCCACGACTCTGCGACCTACACGGCGAGGACTATCGCCTGAGTAGGGATCGCTAGACCTAGGTATTTCTGGAGCACCGCCAATATCGTATTCGTAGTCTTTTCCATGATAATACGACCTGCGGACCAATTCATCGTCACGTTCCTCCTGTTGTTGACGCATAATAGCTTCTTCATCGTAAATCGGGGGCCGTGTAGGTTTAGACTTTCGCGGCCGTCTGGCAACACGAGAATCTTCTTCAGTGCTATCTTCACGAAATACTTGAATCTCGCCTCGATGTGTAACCTCTTGCTCGTGATCGGATTCGGGAGCATCAGGGTCAAACCATGGACATTCGCATCTCTTGGGTTTCTCTCCACACACGACGCAAAATTCGGCACCACATCGACTGTATATGTTAGAAGAATCCATATTCAAGTGTCAAGGAATACTTACCACAAGGCATGATTGTCACCCTCTCGGAGCTGAGCTGAAGCACCGCATCTATAACATCTCTTCTGCCCTTCGACTCTGACATACTCAAGAAATCTCGCCGTCTCTTCGTCCCTAGGACACTTGCTCGCAAAGTGCCACCTGCCATTACATGCAACACAGACTTTGGTGTTGCACCGATCACAACGAGCAGCTTTGCGTCCCGTCTCGCGATCGTGGTAAATATCAGCTGGTCGAATCCGTTCACCACATCGTCCAGAGGGACAATAGAGCCTGTTCCTGAGGGAGTACTCGACAAACTTCTTGTTCCATATTCTTTTAAACGTAGAATCGAAAAGCTTATCAACATGCTCCAGACCAATGTGAGCATCGGTGCAGCATGTTGGCGGCATATGTTCAGCCTCTGTCATTGATTGCTTGAACCGCCTCTTCAGACAGCTGTGGCACATGCGATGGCCGCAATCAAGCTTCGGGCATTTGGATACAGGGACTTCGTCTAAACAGCCCTTGCAATCGCGTCTGAGAAGCATGGCTGTTAGTAATTGATCGCCGCAATGTGATTGGTGCCACTCACATCAGACGTGGACGGTCTGGGGATGAATTTCTGGATGAATCAAAGCCGCTGCGGGCTATACTTGGGGGACGTCGAGAGGACTCCCTTGAGACTTCAATGGTTTCAATTGTAGCTATAGGTAGCCTCCGAGGGCGGCCCTCACGCACTAATTCACGAGACTCAACCACCTTGGCAGTTCTGATTCTTAGTTAGTATTGGAGATGAGAACCAATTGTAAATAGCTTACCTCCTGGATGCTACAGGTGGCCGAGAAGCACCGAGCACACTGTTAAATCTTGTGGGAAGACTGTATCTAGGTGTATCGCTGATCTCTCGTCTCAGAGCAGGTCTGCGGTCTGGTGAGCCTCTTTCAGAAGAAGCTTGTCGATATCTTATTTCTCTTTCGTCCGAAGTCGATGGCGATGGTATTCTATTCCGTCTCCGTGGTGTTCTTTTTTCATCTGGCGAACTGAGATAATCGTCTGGGCTGGGTGATCGGCGGTGTCGACGATGATGGCGTCTATGTTTGTCTTCTGGTTCTTCCACCACAACCTCTATCTGGTTCTCATCATCGCTCTCCTCCTCGCTCTCACTGTCGCTCTCGCTGTCACTATCTGTCGGCGGTGTCGACTCTGGCGTAGGTTCTCTCCGTCTTCGGACCACCTGCCGGGGCCTCGCGGGCTCCGGGTGTCTACCCCGTGGCTTCATAGCCGGCCAGCGGTCATCATCCTCGTCGTCTTCGTCTGCTTCATATACCGAGAACTGAGGGCGTTTCTTGTAGACATCTGTCGAGGCACGCATCAAGTGTGCTGGCGGCATGGGCATTGTAGGCGGGTATGCATCGAGGCTCATACTCCTGTGGTATCCCCTGGGTGTCCTGCCGTTGGGCCTTTGTAGTTCGTCGATTCGTGTCCGATGGGGCATTGGGTACTGGTTATAGGGCACGACGTCACTGGGGCCGTACCAATCGTGAGATTCAGGGCGGAGGGGCCTGCGACGCACGAGTGGAAGTCGGGCGTCTCCATCAGCGACGTCTCGATCGTATCCCAGCCTCATTTTTGCTGAGTGGGATGGATGGACTCCTGCAGGACCCAGAAGGGGGGGACACGGCACAGCGCAGCAACAGCACAGCTCAGCGCGCGCTGGACAGTGGACAGCGAGAGTCTGGTGTCCTAGGCTGGACTAGTGTATATGTCGGAAGGTAACGGGCAAGGGCCAAAGTAGTCGTGATGACGAGCGGTCGAGCCACTCAACGAAGTCCACGCTGCGTGAGCAATTGCACCCCCCAAAGATGATTGGAGTCTGGGGGCTGATCATGCATGGCAACCGCAGCTTGCAGCGTCACGTCGAGGTCGGGTCGAGTCGAGTCGGAAGTTGGGGCGAGAGGTAGAGAATGGAAAAGGATTGGATGTGTGTGGTTCTGCTTCTGGTGCCTTA